CCGTTTTCCACGCTCGGCGCCGGCTTTTCTTCTCCGTCACACAAATAACAGGATCTGTACCAGGCTCACAGGGCACAAGGTGACCCTGTAGCTCCAAATAGGGAAAGACTGGATCTCTATCATATCCTGGACGCCTAATTTAGACCTTGCATGAGCCACCTGGGTCCTTTAGCTAACGGGCCAAGTCGATCTATACCCCGGATGCAACATGCTTTCTCAATTACCACCTTGAATAACGGATTGGTGTTAACTTCGTGAACCATCGACTCGCGCCGAGTGGCGTTTCTGTTCTTTATTACGCAGATATATTGGGTTATGTACTTGCTCTTAGACGCCGGCCTGGGTATCGACAAATACCTGTGGACATACATCTGATAATATGTCCCTATCAATCTCATCAAAAAGAAACGGACGGTAAGTAGCGTGAATTCAGTGACAACTGACGACGATCGCTATACCGCGACCTCCTGGTCACATCCAAGCTCTATTATCGATAAAACCCCACTTCCATCCCTACATTCCTCGAGACATGTACATAGTGGACACGTGCGGCACCAGTTGATTGACACATATATAAGCTAAGGAGAACATCATTCGTCAGCACAACAAGGTATTAAAAATGCCAAATTGACATGCCCAATCGAATCTCCAGGCTATTTTGCTTTTTGACTCAATATCTGGGCGAGGGTTTAGAATGTTCCTCATTTGATGCAACATCAGAAGTAAATTTGTCTCCACTATTAACAAAGAAGGGTAAAGGTGGCTCTGAGCAAGAGTTAGGATAAAACAAACTCCTAGAGGGTAACTATCACCGCGCCTTTGCAAGCCAAGTGTTTGGGTTTTCATATCATGTCATGTCTCAACCAATTCCATCGTCCCTCCGATATTGGTAATTCTGGGCATAATTTGTGCAGAAAAGACAGGCATATGCCGGTATCAAAAGCACGTGCAAGTTGTATATATACCACGCGTCACAAGCAAGGCAGAAATTGGGAGCCACTATTTCCTATTTAATATAGTGAGCATGCTGGACGTTGCCTTGAGAATTGCGCGTCGGGGCCACGCGTTGTACAGATTCGCATCTCAATTGGTTGTATCCTAGCTTGAAATATACTATAGTCTACAGATCTTTTAGCAGAACCCGGGATACTCTGCTTGTTAGTTTACACAAACCAATTTGACCCGCGGCTGTGGATGTGACCGAAACAGGCAACAGCAGTTGTACAAGGGGATGTACAGCAGTGCTTGATCCATACTGTATACCAAGGCGCGCAGATCTGCAATGTAGTGTGGGCCTGAGCCAAATCCCGAAAATCAGGAAAGTTGTTCTAGTGGCATTTGAATGTAACAATGAAGACTGGAGGTACTAGTTATGTAACTCCAAGAAGCTGCGCTCATTGATTTGGCTGGGGCTGAGCTCTGAACCACTACTATGTGACGAAGATTACTTCAAACGCGCTTATAGCGATATTTATCGCTCCAGGGCTAGTTTATGCTGCATGGTGTAGATACCCTAGTAAGCCCAACAACTGGGTTAGTTGCAGCCGTATGCCAGATACCCGGAGATGAGACCTTCCTAGGGTATTGATGAGCAAATTCTCAAAGCCCGGTTGCGTGCATGCACTAGCGTGAATCAGATTTGCTATTTGTTTTAGGCTGCAGTAACAGCAACAGGAGCAGTAGCAGCAGCCGGAAGTGCCCGGGATAAAGATCTCATGACCCAGAGATCGAGTAAGATCTGCAGGGTGTGAAATCCGCTAAACCTAGGAGAGGGGTCTTTGGGATGCCCATTCGGTGTGGTGCAGTAGTTTCCGCTGGGCATGCAGTGTCCAAGGGTGAAGTTACACGATTGGTTTGGTAGGAGTCCGTGTGTACATCGTAGATGTTCTTTCTTGGGATATACCATACACGACTGTCTTTGCAATATACAATGCGCAGTTTGTGTTGCAAGCAGGAATGTATCAAATATGATCGCCACAAAGCACTAAGAACCAGCATATATTCCACAGAGTAGATAACAGTGGTTCAACCACGTCCTGATCAGAAATAACCCCAAGACAGATCAATGGAGAAAGGCGGCATGGCTATTCCCACGGCGCAGGAACGATGGTTTGAAAAAATGAACAGATCAAGACACCGTGGATGTAAATGATAGATAATTTGATTGTTTAGGCACCCCAGCCATCCCAGAAAAAGGTCTGATAATTCAGATGACCTGACACCTGAATAAGAAATGGAGGGAGACAAAGGTAGCGACCAGCATACCCTGAAAGAGCCAGGTAGGGGTCAATATCATTTTATAACATCCATGGAATAGCATTCCAACCAAAGTCCTCCTGACTTTTTCCATTTTAAGGGAATTTTGCCTTGTTAAAAAGGAAGGAGAGACTCAGTATAGAGATGCTGGTAGGACAACCGGGCCGGATCCGAACCACGGTAGGGTAAAGTTTATCTTGAGATGCTACATCGACGACAATACAATTGTCAGCCAACAATAGGAGTGGCCAGAACATATGCCCGAAACAGCGCACAGACCGAAAACAAATATTAGTTTGAGGTTTGGGAGGACGGCTGTATTAGAGTGGTGGCCGACAGCGGATTTCCCGCAGAACGGCTGGGGCCCCAAGCAGAGCCGCCTGAGCTGCTGTCTATCTATATCAGCGCGGAGCATTACGACTGGACTAATATTTTGACTCATATTGTAGCAAGGCAGCGGACCTTACATCCAATGCCAGAATACACCTGAGAAATAATGCTGTGAACCGAGTGCGAAGGTGCGGGGTCTGGATATCATGCCATAGGGCAGATCATGCCGCTGTCAACTCTACCGAGACTCAATCCATGGGAAACCGAGGATAACATCCAACAGACATGAAACAAATTGCTCGTCTTGTTGACAGGACTAGGAGCATGGCTGGACTAGTTTGTTTTAGATAATTAGGAGCAACGGCGCAAGTCTGCAGTAAACTGCGCATAGGATCGTTATTATCGTTACGTGTACGGAGTACTCCGTACGGAATATGGACTGACGGTCGTTTATGGTCGACGATCTGTCTGCGTCTTCACATGGGTGATGATATTTTTTCCTGTTCAAGACCAATATTTCGCTTATTGCGGACGTTCTCTGATAACAATGTGGTATTTTACACGGAGTATAGGATCTGCACACATGAAACCTCTAGCTGCGACCGTAAGGTAAGAGAACAAGTCACCAGTTGGTGCATCACCTCCAACTGGCAATTTATTAGCTTTATAAAGCGTGCGAACTAGTTCGAGGCGCTGGCGCTAGAAGCATTGTGGGCCCTACCAACGTGTGTTAGCGGGTACAGAACCTGCTTTCCAAGCATCTCCAATTGCCCAGTCCTTTAGAGGAGATTCTAGACTTTGATTTTGGGCTTGGTGGCTGCAATAGCTTCAATTATGTTGGAATTAGTGGGGTCCTCTGCAGCAGATCTGACCATCTTTTTTTTTTTCTTTCTTGTTTCACTTGCCATCAACGGCGTTGCATCGTTATCTGCAGGTTTATTGTACTCTTCTATTATTTATTTTAATTATGTGCTTCGATCAGGTTTTACAATAGATCGGAGAGAACTCCGACCGTGGCAGTGTATTTTCAAGCTTGGCTTCCAATTTTATTCAAGGTGGGGCCGTTGTGAAATAGGAAGTATCGGCAGGATAATTTTCCACTGCTTTATTTCCGTTGGAAGGATAAACTTGGCGGATTAAATGCACTCCATTTTCGGGCGCCACCTTTTTGGTTTGTTTGGTTGGTGTCCACGGAAGGAGCTGGTGTAGGTTTACAGCGGGGGTTCTGGAGCATCTCCGCTGCACGGGTATTATAACCAGACGATTAGGGACCAGAGCCGTCTTCGGATTCCGAAGATCGTCAGGAGGGGCATATTCCTGAGGTGTGGACACTCGCATGTGGAATGCTTGGACTTGTCGGTGTACGGATGTTGTCCAGCACATTATGTTCACGGGACAAGATGGTGCTCAGGGCACTTATGTTGTATTATTATGTATCAAATGTAATGCAGCGGAATCTCTTTTGGCTACTCCGTACAGTGGAAGCACTGAATTCAGCGTTTTACCCAGAGTTCTAAGGTTGGTCGGTGCCGCCCAGCCGCCCAGGTGCCGGGTAGTATTAGGGCTTGCTGAGTCACCTAACAATTAACAATGCGATGGTGTTCTCCAAACTTCCACATTTGGGAGGGAAACCAGCTTTTCTATGTTGTAGAGATGAATTCTTAATTGTTCTAATTTTATTCAGAGCAAAAAGGAAATGAAAATTGAAAGCAAGTTTTTTTTTTTCAAATATATAAACCTGAAGCCGCAAACGTGTAAATACCTACAAAGGATGAGGGGGTTCGGATTTCCAAGGAAAGTAATCCGTGGGGATCGTGAGTTTTCCCCGTGCAACGTTTTTTTTTTTTTTCTTAAGGGTTTTTTTTCTCTCGGATTTAGGGCGAACAAGCAAGATAAGCTCCGCAGAAGAGTCTCCACCGAAAATTTTTCGAAGCATCAAATGATCAAAGAAAACTGGGGGCCATCCACTGTGTCCGAATAGCCGCTACACCGGCAATCCCATTTTTCTTCATTTTCTCTTTGGATTGGGGATAATAACTAAACTGGAATAAATTAGTGGTCAATAAATACTTAAGTTTCTGGGGTAGAAAGAGTTTAAAAGTGACACAACATACGGAGTAGACAAGTCATAAAAGAGAGAAAAAAAAGAAAAACAAAAAGACCAAAAAAAGATGACCCATCAGAGGTCTGGAACCGGTTTCGTGATCTGGTGACACGGCAGGCCAAGAAAAACGCTTGGACCAGGTTCCCCATTATTCTTCGAGGGTATAAGACTCGCTACCGTTTCCCACCTTTCTCTGGCTTTTTCCCTTTGGAACTCCCTCCCCAAAACAATTCTACATATTTCAGCATATCTACATCTCTCTGGGTTACACTTATTTAAAACATCCCGGTTTACACCATTTAAAAACACAATGAACGCTAGCACTACGCAAAGAGCCCCCAAGACTCCAAAACCAACCGCCTCCGTGCCAATTGTCCAAAATAAACGCTGGCCCCCTATGGCAAACAGAAATGCCCTTCCTTACAAGCTCACGCACATCTCAAAAGAGAAACTCGCCCGTGAAGCCACCGCACCAGACCCCGATCTTCGCCGCTGCGTGGCTCACTTCCGCCTGCACTGCGGATCCGTCTCCTGGACCGAGAATGACATGAAGTCTCGCATCAGTTCATTTGATTTCGAAGACACCGACGAGGAAGACGATGTGGATGAGATCAACACAGAACTGCCTGTCCTGAAGAACAGAGCTGCAACCCCGGCCAAAGAGACTCCGGTCGAAGTCACCGAACAAATATCATACAAATCCAAATCAGAGACTGTCGCTGTTGCAGCTACCCCAGCAGCCCCGGCACAAACACCACCAACATCACCTGAAAATTCATCCGAGCATGGTTTTTTGGAAAAGGGTCGCAATTGTCTTGAGGCGACCTCCAAACACCTATGGACAGGGGGATCTTGCATTGTTTCCCCAATCGCGGGTTGAACTCGCCTCTCATTATATATTTTCCCTCCTACACTCTCGACTACCGAACATTTTACCCTAATCCTTTGCAACCGACAACACGATATTACGACTTGATGACCATGATGAATACACCAAAATGAATCCATGTATATAACTTTACTTTTGACAATATGTCATTTCATAATTACCGAAGAACCAAACTTTTTTTTTTGCTGGACAATCTGCTTTCCCGATCACACCGTAAAAACTCGAATAATAATAGCAGTCTAGATGGCCTATTCAAATGACTTTTCAGCTTTGAAATCTTCGCTTTGAAATCTTCACTTCCCCAAACTCCCAAACTCCCCACATGCTCTATTCTTGGGATGCCCAAGCTGGAAGGTCAAGCGAAGTGACTCACCTGCCGCGTAACTCCGGGTCACATGATCCATCCCCGAAAATGGAATATAGAAATCCTGACGATCTTCGAAAAAACGCCAATCTATTAATGTCAATCCTGGAGAACTAACGCAGGCCCCAAACCCGAGAAATGGGGGCTGTGGAACCATGATCCTCGCCGTGGAATCCAAAGGAAACCAGCTGGGAATACTGAATTATGTATGGTGGAAACTCGGGTAAAGTGGCGAATCACCCGCCGATCGGGTCAGGTTTCATCATAGGCATGTCACATACTCAGATTGTACGGAGCCCTTTTCAGCACATCCGATATGTTCCAGCCTGGAAGGACCTCCCATTATCCCTGCCATCATTGGTAAATAGGACCATTTTGGCTTCGGGACCCGCCAATGGTTTGATCGCTATCAAACTGTTAATATGAATGGCCTGACGTCGCTATGATACTCTAGATCGTGTCTGTCAAATTGAGTTGCTGCGCGAACATGAAAACAAGAATTGAAAACGTGGAAAGCCATACAGCACACAGTACTCGAAACCTACACTCGACATACTTTTGTTGTAGTACTGGATGACGCCACTCACGAGAACATTAGCCATTTGCTCGGCCGAAGGAACATCTAATCTGACATCCACCCTTTCAGCATCGCGACGGCATCGCAACAGCCCGATCTCCAGCCCCGCAAAACTACTGTGTACAACATATGTTGTACTGTACACCCGTTCGACCAGCGGATCTGCCCGATTGGCTGGTATCTCATCCATTTCCCTCCATTCCCCGTGGCAAATATCTCCTCGGTGAACTCTCGGCTCGCCGGGACTGCTCGACCAGGATCGCCGACGTCAACTGCCTGACATCGCTCGGTGATGTTATGGATGACGCTGGTTTGCTTGATCCCCTTGGATGAACCTGTTGTGGCTAGCGGTTTCGCGGTAAGTGGGTAAGACGATGGGCCTAGTAAGGTCGATGCATATTTTGAGTTTGATCAAGACATTGTCGTGGTGTTGATCTAGCTTGATAACCACGAAGGGTGCCGTTGGGATGGCGTAGTACTCGAGTACAATCTGTTTGTTGTTTCTTGAATATCGCCACTAACAATTTGAGGTTATCTTCATCTGATCCCTTATATTTTGGCCTGGCCTGATACCCACATGCATCCCTCTATATCATAATCTTCATACTATAAATAAGGCCAGACAGAATTAAATCCCCACTTTTGTCTTCCCCTTCGCCAAAGACAATGCCATAGTTGCCATATCCGAGAGTGTATACGGCACCCCAAATGCTACTAGTATAGTCGGAATCTGCGCTTCCTTGCAGTTCCATGCATGTCCTCGGCGACGATATCCTCGGCTGCAGCGCCAACTTCTAGGTGAGAACTTTGGGATGGTGTGTAACCCAGTTTTGATTCGGTGTTTGAGAGTGGTGTGTCATCTAAATGTAATTTTTCATTGTTGAAGGGGCCATTGGTTTGGGGAGCCGGATCCATGCTTCCAGCAAAAATGGGATGTAGGTGCCAAGTAAGTGACTATGCAAGAAATTATGCACCAATCGGTCAAAGTCAAAAGTCTGCATTAGCCCCATTCTTGCGATGCAGCGTGAAGGTATAGCCATCCCAATAGATCAAGTGACCCTGCACAAACCCTGCAGCTAAGTAGTTCATTTGTCTAGACCCCGTACGGAGTATTGTAATTCCCCATTCCATTCAGATACATCTGCATGTGTTCACCGTAAATCACAATTTAGAAACAACAACATTCGCTTCCCCAGAGTCAAATTTGACATTCCAGCCACCTCTCACGCGCTGCAATTTATTCCCAGCCACAGCATAGTCATCCTCCGTACCCGGAGTCTCGACCCAAACAATAACAGAAGAAACATCGGACGAGCCAGGAACAATACGTAGTTGAAGAGACGTCGGCCGAGAAATACCAAACGAGACCTCTTCTATCAATCCAGCGCTGATCGTGACGTATACTCCCATTTGTGCAACATAGACCCGACGACGCACAGCATCTCGTGGTTGTACGGTGACTGTGTTTCCGTTGGTGGCGACATTCCCACCGTACGCGACAAGTCCGACATCGGGATCATCGACAAGGTACACAGCGGATCCAAGCATCATACCTAGGAAGTTTGGACCGTAGTCACCTGAATAATCATCGCCTTGCAGGGTATCAGGGAAGGAGTGGAAAGCATTGTACATCGAGCCATCTTGTCGGATGTTGGATAGTGGTCCTGTTACCCCGCCGTAGCCAACTCGGAGGAGATAGGTGTCGGTTGGATTCTGGCGGAAATGGGATAGCAAGGGTAGTGCATTGAGGCTTGATCCGTAGTGATGGATCATGCGCTCGATGCGCTGTAGCTTGCCGCCATAGCTGAATGAGATGTCAGTAAAGGGGAAAAGTCGAGAAGGCTCAAATGAAAAAGATTGGGCTGGCTCCTACATGAAGTCCCAATATCGCCGGGCATTCCCATTCCATCCCCAGTGCGGCACTGTGGGCATATATCCCAGGATGCTGTTGATGGTCTTCGTTGCTGTTTTGGTCAAATTGAAATAGCTAAATAGAATGTTAACAAATCAAGTGTGACTGCCAGAAAACGGCCCAAAGAGTAAAAACTCACTTGCTCCAGTAGTAGATTCCCTCTTGGCCAGTCGAGTCCCAAGCCATCTCACTGCCAAAGGGAACATCCTGCGTATCCCATGCCTCAGCGCGAAGCTTCATAGCAGCCTCCAAAGAATCGGCCTCGGCAGTCCACTGTTCACGTCTCAAATCCGATAGAAGCTCACCAACGACGGTCTCGCCCATGAGTCCGAGACGCGAGTACCCCACAAGCCCATCACCACCCGAGTCCGTGGCGAAACAGGTCACTGTGGTATTGTATGCTTGACTGAGATACCACTGCCAAGTGTGTGTTTTCAGAAGTGACCCGTTATCTCGACCTGCGCGATACAACGCCCAGTATGCCCCGATGACATGGATATAGTCGTAGGCACGGTCCGTAGCATGGGAAGCATCCTTATTCCATGACCACCAGTTGCCCCAGTCGATAGACTGGTCGTATGAGTATTCAGGGACTTGGCCAGGCTCGTAAAAGAAGATACTCTTGCGGACGGTGAAGTCTGAGTTTTGGATAGTCTTAGATAGAACATCGGAAGCAAATTGTTCAAGTTTTGATACCTCTGTCGCATCGGCCAAACCAGATTGCTTCATTGCGCTGGCCAAGTAGGTCACACCACCTTCGTCGCTTAGTCCGGATATCCAGACTCGGGGTTCTTGGAGGACTTGCGCTTGGGTTGAGTGATCCCATGTCATGACTGATGGAGCTCGATGGAAGGGGTCATCTGTGTCAGTGAACCACATCGAGGTGGTAGTGAACTTGCCCAATTTACTGATTGTTGCTGGTGCCGAGTCCGTAATGAAGTAGTGTATCGTTTGGACTTTGCCGTCTTTGTATGTGATGGTTACTTTGGTTCGACCCCAAACCAAGCCAGTTGGGGTGAGTGATAGAGTGCCATTTGTACCACGGGTTATCTTAAAGGAGTTGTCTTCGGACACGACTTTGGCGATTTGAGAGTGAGAAACGTAAAGCCGAGCTGTGAGATCGACTGGTACCACGTATCCCGGTATGCCCAGTGTGGCAGGCGTGTTGGTGGCTTTGACTGCATCCTGTATACCACGCACACCGTCCTTGACAACCGTGAAGCGCAATCCGTAGGTCACTGATTCACCCGGGCTCACGAGTCGAGAGCTAGGCTCGTTCCATGGGGTGGCACCAGACCACTCATTCTCGGCATAGGCTTTGGTGTGAGTCTGCCATTCGTAGAATCCCTCAAATGTTTGACTGCCGTAATAGAGAGGTTCGGTGCTAGGCTCGTCCAGATTTCGCCATGCTTCCAGTGGAGTGCTCGTGTTGAGCAACGGGGTAACGATCAACGATGCCCCTGTCCCAATCGTGGGATTCACCTGAAGATACCCAGCATCCATCCCAATATATGGATCTGTGAGCAAGCACTTGGCCACCATATCTTCTGCTGTGCGGTTGGAGAAGATACTGTTGAATTCGGTCGGGAAACCCAGGCTACCAATTTCCAGTGTCTGATCTCCCTTGTTGGTCAGAGTAAAGGTCAACCCGAGATCGCCTTCAACATCAATCCATTCTCGAAGAATATTGATAGGAGAGGTCGGCAGGGTTTGTGTCATCTCAGCGGCTGCAAGAGCATCGGATTTGACACTTTTCAACGATTTTCTTGCTTTTGATGAATCGCCTGCAATCCACTTTGTTGAACCCAACAGTCGATAACGATATGCAATGTCCCCATTATGATACTGGCCATTTGCCGCTCTGTATGTAATATCATCAAAAGGCAAGAAGTCGAAAGACTCTCCTGCTGGTTTGAGAGAGGCGAGGACCTGAGAATCTTTGACTAACTTGATGTCAAAGTTGGCTGTGGATAAAGAAGTATAGCCATTTCTTAGACCAAGTGCATCATCATATGCTTGCACAGCCGCAAAAAGGAAAACAAAGAATCCCGAATCAAGTTTCATTATACAAATTGTAGCCCCGGCAGGCTCTTCTCCACCCTTGGCTTGACAAAATGGAATGGAAAACCAGAGAATATAAGCAAGATGGCACAGCTAATACGGCTAAATATTATTTGGGGGAGGCAATGTGAGACACTGGAGCTATGAACCGTTTATCACCCCACACTTTTACTCCGCAGCGTTGCATCCTGAATTCGATCTAGGAATATATATTTTACGCCAATGAAGAGTTGCTTAGTCTCAAAATATTAGTGTCCTTGTAGTCCCAACCCCCACAATACATATAACCATCCGTGGACTCTATCTGCTATTTCCCATAAAAGACATTATAAAAGCGATATACGATAAACCATAACCAACCCAATTCGATCCGATCATCTGGCGGAAGATGCTCATCTCAATTCGCGACAACAGCCTCGACAAACGTAGCCCTCCTAGCAAAGTCAACCCCAAGACCCTGATACGGTTTGACAGTAACATGGTTCTCCGGCTCGACCATACCTAGGTAAGCCGCACTTGGATCCCATTAGGAGACGATCAATATGACCGCAGATAATCGAGTGCGCTCTGACACAATTTGGCGCCGAGACCAAGGCCCCGATGCTCAGGTAGCGCGAATAAGCCTAGCATCTGCCCCGCGAGCAGGGACAGAATGATACGGTCTACCCACTCGGTGTCGGTGAAGACGGGTTCAACATTGCAGGTCAATGCGAATGAGCCAGGTGCGGCTTTCAATGCTTTTAGACGTAAATCTCGGCATCTCTGTACGGAGACGCTGGTTCCGTGTATCTTGAGACGCGGAAGAATGAGTAGGTTTAGATGAAATGGGAAGCCATGGATAGAACATGAGAGACAAGAAGCTGTATTCTGTCAAATAACAGGGCTTGTTCATCATTTATTTGCTATACTTTCGATCAGTGGGTCTCTACGGCCAACTTGAAAATGGCCGATGTCGCTTACCTGCAGCGTGGTTCACTTTGAACGACCAAATCCAATGCGGCTGGATAATAAATCGGAAAATGCATCTCAGGTTATCAATGTAATGATCAATTGACAGACATTGAAAAGGCTAAATCGAAATCATTGAACATTTCCACTGAATCAAGCAGTCCAAAGTCCACATGAGACTGAGTCAGGAAATCCAGCATGGTTGGTTGATGCAGAGCCATTTCCGTGGTGAGATATGGGACATTCGATTCAAAGAGTGGATGACCCAGGTCTTCCAGAGGACCCATGGAGGATTGGAGATTGTTCGAACTTCGGTGTGGTCGTAATGAACCAGAATCCGATTCTTCAGCCATCGGCAACAAATTGGCAACATTGTCCACAGCACCGTGAGAAAGTGCCGATGCAGAGTATATTTGGCTATCGTGAAGACACCGGCGCACGCGCTGCATGCGTTCGTATAGGTCCCTTGACGCGAGATTATCGGATAAGCTGAGATTCTTGAGGATTTCCGTTGCTGTTTCGGCCGAAGTTAAATCGCTTGGATCACCGAGTGGCAGAAGACTCGAAATCACCAGGATTAATGCGGCAGAGAAGAGGTAGGCAGGAAATGAGTAGCCAAATATTGCCAGGGATCCGCCGGTCCATTCATTCACACATAATGCTAGCGAGTGTCTTGCTGCGTGTATACATGCCTCACTTAACGTGACCAGGATGGGTGAAATGGAATCCATAGACTGGTTAGTTTGGTCTCTCATTTTTAAGGTGAGGACATGGAGGAGGACTGGTCGAATTGCCAGGATTACGCACTAAAGTAGTCAGTGTATGGTTTCGAAAGAGATCCAAGGAGAGTTATGCTCTTACAAAATTGAACTGAAGATGCATCTGAACCGTGTGTTTCGGGTTTGGCCTTTCTGTACTGAGCCTCAGGTGCTCAGGAAGAGACTGAACCCACTGTTTCAATTGAGTCAAAAGCTTCTGTTCGCGATGTAAGAAGGTCTCGGCTGAAATCTTCCGACAATATATCTCTCCTGTTGTGTCACCAATAATTTTGGCAAGTTCTATTGCTGCCACCTGGTAAGAGCCATCCAAAAATTGATCATGGTATATCTCAGACGCCGAAATGGACGGTGGGTCGACATGTATATCCTCGTCGTGAATTTGCACAGGGAATCCCGACTTTGAGCCCCAGAATCGGTCAAGCACGTAGATGGTCCACCATATCCGGATGCGGTGTTCTCGTGCTACTGGGTGTAGATTTTGGCTTTGTGGGATGTTATAGTTTAGGCCTATGCTGAGGCCGAGTCGTAATGCATTTCCGATCAAAACGTAGGCGGAGTGAAAGCGGTTCAAGAATTGGCAGTAGATGGCCTACAGAGAGAGTAAGCAAGAACCGAGGTGACTGCCAAAAAGGGGACTGACAATCAAGAGCAGACTTTCAATATGAATCATGCTTGGTCTCTCGGGAACGATCTGAATGAGGCTCCATGCTTTGGCAAAATAGGCCAAGCCAGGTACATTCGACGTGTCGGAAAGATCATGAGGAGTTGAAAAAACTTGAGCAATGGCAAAAAGAGCAAAGTATTTGCACTGGATACTTGGATTATCGAAGTCGCCTCTCTGATAGACGCCATGGAGCATGTCCAATGTGTCTTTCTTCAATGCCAAATGGAAAGATGGGATGATGTGGCCAAGTGCAGTCTTTACCAACAGCTGGGCACTCACAAGGCCGGGCCATTGTACGTCTATGTGAAGTAAAGATGATATTGCGGACTCGTCAGTATAACGCGATCTTGGAAGGTGAGGTGTTGGCGTGTTGGTCCCTTTCAAGGACTGGCATAGACGAGTGGCAAAAGCAGCGCAAGTTGCCTCGCTGATGTAAAGGGGGACCACTGATGCATCATTGGATTGAAACCACGGCTTATCACCAGGGAGATTACTCTGTAGCAGGGGCTCAGTGTTCTCAGTGGCTGCATCCCCATAGACTTGCTGGGAACCAGAGCTCTGCTCTTGTCTGTTTGAGCGGCTTTCCTGTTTCAAACGATGTCGTCGGTCATGTAGCTCTTGGCTATCTTTCAGAAGTTGCTCCAAATAGCTATCAATTATTGAATTTAGTGAGTCATTTTGAAATTAGCGACCAAACCAGATGGATACCTTTCATCCACCCTTATTTTGCGATCTCTGGTCGCATATCTGCATTGAGCTTCGTAGCCTGCAGATCGGCATTTCGAGCATGGCTTTTCTCCGGAGCATTTGATCTTTTGCTCATGACATCGATGACAGCTGTGAAAAGTGTGAGCGGAAGTTTGATGCCGCTTGGACATACTTACGCCACAGCTCTTTTCTTGGGTCTTGCTGTGGTGCGAGTGGGCTGTTGACTAGACCGACTGGGTATACCCTGGAAATCAGTGCCCATCTTGATCCAGAAGCCGGTTTCAAAATGCAAAGAGATTGGTGCTAAAAGAAAACTTGAGGCGAGTGGGGGATGTGGTCGGCTAATCTTCAGTTCGCCGGTCCGCCCAATCATGAACGGAAATACCATCACCGGAGTTTTTGAAGTATTCAATGTTATGAACTATGAAATCAACCTCGAAAAGTGGTTTGAATTACTATTTGACGTATATATTTAGGTGGTTGAGTCACCCAATTTGTAATTCAAGTCTATATGTACATAGAATAAGTAGAATAGAATACACAAGTAAAGAAAAGGGCAATAAGTCGTAGAGTCAGGATATCTAGTGTAACAGGAACCGTGTAGGTGTCTCTTGGGATTCGAGCTCCAACGAGACAGACGTTTTCCTCTTTTTAGGTGGATGGACGTGATTCTTCAATCCTTTATTGAAATTAAGGATACACATCACGGAGTTAATGAATGTGAGAAGCATCAAAAGTAATGACGCAGCTGCGAACAATGTCAGGGACACCCGGAAAGAGCTGAAATCAATGCTATCGGCGCCACTGTAAATTCGAAGGAGGATGAGGACAAGGAATCCAATTATGATAAGCATAAAGAACTGAATGACTGGTTAGTTTGAAGCTCAGATATTGTTTCGCACTGGAGAATCCTCACCATCATGAGTATGAGAGATTTCGTCTTCTCGCGCTTGCAAAATTGAGCTGACAGGACCAAGGTCAATATCGTGATCGGGATCACCGAGGCATTGATGATGAAATCGATGTCTTCGGTTTGAAAGACAACAAGGAGGATTTGGAGTTGACTTCCGAATACGAAGAAGAAATCGAATTTCAGGAGAGCGATATACACCTAGAAGAACTTCATCAGTAAACAAAAACAAAGCAAATTACCAGCATCGTCGTAACAAACCTGATATGTAAAATATCGACGCTTCATCTGCAAATCCGCGCTGATATTCTTATATATAGACCATGAAAACTCGGCACGCAACTTCCACGTAAAAAAACTCATGCACATAGTCCCCGTACCCAAAAGCACAGGGACAATAATTAGCTCGACCTGATACATGTCCTGCAGACGGTCGCTGAGATTTTTATCCGTCAAGTTGGAGATAGTATCCCTTAGCTCCTTCATCTGAAGAATGCCATATGCGAACAGGCCCTGATTACAGATGCAGAGTCCGATCAGTTGGATTGTGTTCCGCCGGCGCAGTGCGTCATATGACAGCGCCAGTTCGTATAGAAGAGCGAAAATGTACAGGCCGAGAAATGACTGAAGGCGCATTGTTCCGTTTTCTTTGCTGTCGTTGTCGAGGTCGTCCCACAGGCTCATGAGAATCCAGCTAGTTCCCCCATAAGCTGCAAATCCGAAAAGGGACTGATATCCGAGGTCGGGCCCCTACCTTTCAATTGCCACTGTGAGGACGGTCTCGGTGATCACCGTTGCTGCAAATAATCGCGTCCATAATGTGTTGGGGACGTATAGTAGAGTTCGGCTGTGGTTCGGGGCCTTGTGGTGGTGTTCGTGTTCGTTCATGACCGGACTGACTGGCACAGAATATGTGTAGATCTCTGATTCCTTGGTCTTGGAGGACTTTTCGTAAGCATCGTCGGATTTGTGTTGGAAGGTGGTTTGAATAGGTTCAGATATCATATCAAAATTGAGGTGAATGTGGAGGTAAAGTGGTAAAGTGGACAGCCCTGGAGACTAGACTATTTTCCCTTTTCAGGAGATTCGTATATTAATGACATCCCAAACCGAATACGACTGCCTTCCACAGTGGGGCGACCACGTCGACACACGTAAGGCCTTTCACTCCGTAGATCAAGCCAAGGTCGATCTAGTGGCGCTCTAGTTGCAATTGACTTTCACTAGGCTAAAAAAAAACAGATGAGGCGGCTTATATCTTGATATAATGTACAAAAATAGTCGGCCGTTTGCACGGCCTTATTATGTCTTTCTGGGGTACTCCGTAGTCTTCTCAGATATATTTTTTTAGATATCCCCCCCTTATTGGTGTTATAGCTAGAAGGGTAAGGATTTAGCCGCAAAATATATAGAATATAGTGAAAAAGTGTTAAATATGTGAATACGCGTATCTGGGCTTGACATGCATGAGACGCCCTGATGATTTCTTTCAAGTGAGACACCACATAACTTCCAGGGGAAACTGGACTTTGCCCCATGTCTGGGCGTGCTGGCCTAGAATTGTACACCTTGGCTCGTGTTTCAGGTAAATTGTACCAATAATCACATTAGAAGATCTATAGTCCCCAATGAACAATGGTACGGAATATTGCACTATTTTTTTCTGACACATGGATAGAATGTATTGTATGCTTATGAATATGAGGATGCTAAGATAATGCGGCGATGGGGATATATCCAAAAAGAATTCAACAATGCACGCCATGCACGCCATGCCAGTGCTTCAGCCGTCTCGAACTCCAGCCAGGTGTATCCGAACACCAGTACAAATAAAAACAGAAAGAACAGAGAAACAACACACAGCAAAGCAAAACAGGCACAGAAAAACTCCGCATAAATGCATGAAACATGAGGACGATATGCATTCGGGCGTGTATGCATCGGAAACTAGGGTATTAGAATTCCATCTCGTCATCCCACCCCAACTGCTCGTATATCGACTTGGACTGTGATTTCTCGGGCGTTACGGGGATAGCTGCGGCGCCTTTGACGGGGGTTCCCATGATGGCAGGTGGGGAGTGAGCGCGAGGATTATCGGTGACCATGGCATCAAGCGATAGAGAAAATGGCACAGCAGTGGGAGTAGATATACTCTGCGGTGCCTGTCTTCTGGGTGGCGTCTCCATGATGGCCGAAGTGCGAGCCTGGTTGAGAGACTGGCTGAATTGTCGAGATGATGTCGACAGGTTTTCCGTGAATGCGGAGATGTTCTTAGGGCGGGAATGGATGGGGGAGCCTGGAACCATTGGTTGTGTGGATGAGCGAGGAGCTGGGAGGTTCGGCACCCTGAACAGGCCTTTGCCAGTGGAGGATGATGGCCGACGGGCAGCTATGGTATCACTCTGGAAAATTTTGGATGATGGCCTAGTTGGAGTTTCTTGAATAGCTCCGTCCGGTTGACTTGATCGTGGACTTCGTCCATCGTGTAGATTGTCATGAGAATTGAAAGGGTCAGAGTCGGCGCCAGAGAATGAGATTGCCCGTCGACTCGAGGATGGGATCATTATGGGAGATTCGCCGAAAGGAGAATTTTCCACACCGGCAAATGACCGGGATGGGGCCAGACTACGAGGGAGCGGCGGTAGCCCGACCACCGCGTCCTTCCTTCGATTGCCTCGAGGAGTCGCCATGACCTGTACACCTTCGCCGAACGGATTGCGCACGGGGTTTCTTGACTTTCTTGAACTGCCTCCGCCGCTTATAACCCGTTTCGACGCATCGTCTGCCAGGTCCTTGGAGACGAGCTCTCTGTTCGGCTTCCGGAGCGCGTGAATAGCAGCATCCAGCTCTCTCTTCTGGTTGGCCAGCATTTGGACCTTTCTCAATTTGGTCTCATGCTGTCGTGCTACGGCGTTAAGATCAACCTCGCGGTTTTCCGTCCGTTTTGCTTTCTGAATGCCACCCCGGACACTGCCGCTGAGTACAGTGGGCAGCAGGGGCTCAATATCGCGCTTCGCATTATGCTGGCTCGGCGCAGTGTTGGATCGAGTCAGTCCTGGGTGTCGAGCATGGGACGCTGCCGCTTTATCGTCCGTAAGTACTCGCTGCAATGTTCGTCGGGGCTTCGGTGCAGGCTGTTGTCGCTTGACTTCCGCACCGGGTTCCACGCGGTGTGATTTACTCGAAGATTGTGTCTTCTTAGCAGCTGGGGAGATACCGCCAGATACGCCGAACTTGCGGGTGATCAACTTGCATTTGTCCGGGAGACGCGCAGCATAGAATGGAATGATGACTTCCGTGCAGAAGTCACGCACCGCATCGCTCTCGACTTTCTTGCCTGAAAGATGGCTGCTATTGAAAGAAGAAGTCTTTGCTGTATCGGCGGCAGACGTTTCTTCCATTGTCACAGCGTGCCAAATGCACATCCGATCGAGATGGAGTTCAAGCAGCACGTTTAAATCCGTGGGCTTCTTAGGCTTGGCTTTCTTCGACGTATCTTGCTCCCCGTTTACATCTTTCTCCTTGTTAGTGCTGTTTTTCTCTGCCGAAGTAATGGTCATTTCCAACACCATGACCTCCAAAATCAGCAGGATCTGCAATTGTGTCTCGCGGAGCCGGAGATCCGAAATCTGTTTCTTAGACTCTGCTTCGCGCGACGTTCCCTGCGCAGAAGACTCATTTAAGACCCTGTCCTTCCACCACCTGTGGATGAATCCTTCCTCCTCTGGGTAAAGACCGTTCTTGCCCATTTTCTTTTTCTTACTCTTCCGCTTCTTAGATTTCGCGCCATCATCAGAAAGCGCAAGAACTGCATCGCGAATTGTCGATGGCAATGTTTCTCTGTATTTGAGGTCCATTTTCTTTGTGGCGAGGATAGCCTCACGGTAAGATTCAATCAGCTCCGTCGAGCCGTGAGGCTGTTCCGAGTCACGAGCCTGGAAAGCAGTCCGGCAGCGTGTCAACGGGCCCTTCGCAAAGTACGCCACAGAAGTCTAGGAAATGTCAGTCAAGAGCAACCAACAGCGAGTAGAGTATATCACCTTTGAAACGTAGAGAGCCTGCAGATAGTGATCTCTCATCCCGTCCAGTAACTCCTCGGGGGACTGTTGCACATCCACGACATTGGAATCAACACCATCAACATCCATAGCCGTAGCAACATCCCCCAATCCCTGGGATTCAGGAAGCAAGAATGAACCCCCCTCAGCGGCATCGAAGCTCCTCGACGGAGCAAGCGAATGACTCCGGTGCTCAACAACACTCACAAAGGATGTCTCAGCGTTCCCAAGATCAGACTCAGACGGACCAAAGACAACCGCAATATCCAGCCCAGCAGACTTTTCGCCCATCTCAACATCGGAGAGGGGCTCATCAATCTGAGCAACCTGCCACCAGTCAAACCCATCGGGAACAGCACCGATCTCGTCGACAGCTACGCTATCCACCTCCGCCGCGTCAGCTCCATGCCACCCCTTGGCCGCAACAACGAGATTGCCCTCGTGCACCCATCGGGCAAGCTTGGAGAGCGAGTATATGCCCCTCTTCACCCTCTCGATAATGTAGAGCCCGCCATTGGGCACCAGGCGCACAGCGAGGACAGTAGGTTCCGCCTTTGCGCGCAGGTCAACTTCTAGCGAGGGGATGTCCGCGGTGAAAAGGCCGCCTGGTTGCTCATCGGATCGGGAGGCGGGCGTGTCGTCGAGCCACGAGAGGGGTAGCCTTGTGCGGGGGAGGGCGGTAATTGGTTCAAGAATTAAGGGTTCGTCAGATAAAGACGCCGAGTGAGCCTATACAAGTTGCGGAGAGTAAGTAACAGCAGCCCAATGGATTGAGCATATTCTGGGCTAATTATAAGCGTGACTTACTCTTATGACGATGGAAGAAGTAGCAAGCTGTCCAGCAGTATCGTTTACCTCCTCTTGATCGCCTCTTTTCCGCTTCTTTATGGGTGGAGGGGTCGGTTCGTGGAGTTTGTTCAGCGCGGATGAACTGAGCGGATCCAGGATGTTGGGGATTATACGCGAGGCCATGGTCGCGTCTAGAAGATTGTTGGCATCCTGTAATTTGAACGCAAGAGTCAAGTCTTATGCTAAACCAACAAAGCAATTGACGTTGGTTGTGCAGGTTGTCGACAAATCGCGCTCGAATCTTGGCGGGTCTGGCGTCCGTCACGCGTCGGGACGTGCACTCCGCCTGGACCAATGTAAGACACGTTAATTGATTTCAATGAAGTGGTCAAGAGAGTGTTTGTCTTAAGAAATCCGTCTAGATATTGAAATTGCTTTCTTAGGAGATTGCGTACGTCAAAGATACCTAAACTAGTGGTATACTGCCAAAAACAATATGTAAAAAAAAGATATGATGAATATTATGAATCTATCGCTAATGTTTAGATTAGCAAGCCCAGGACCAAGCCGAAAAGAACCTGCACGGCACTGTCTGCGAGAGTGCCGTGCAGGTTCCCTCGAAACCGATAGAGCATGATCCAGCGTGGAAGCAGGACCAACGTCTCCTCGGTAGGCACCATGGGCAGTGAGGTAGAGATATGGTGTTGAAGACTGTCGCTCCAGAAAAACGCCAAAAACTTCCTTTCCCAGCCGATGAAAAGTGGTATCATGTTGAATTTTGTCTTCGCCGAAAAGGCCCGTCATTTGCGCGACCATGCAGATAATGAAACAAGAGAAGTTGATCTCCAAGTGGAAACCAACTTCTGGATTTTATGAGGGTTTTTTATAGTCTATGCTCATCGTGCTTTGAGTTGTTGAAAACAAAGCAAATCATCACAGTCGTCAAAAATTGTCCGGAGTCACCGGATTAAGCAGAGCCCGCTTAGAACTTGAGGGCACGGGGTGACTCCCAGGAGAACTCCTGGTTAGTGAAGTGACCGTTCTTGGCGGTCTGGTAGTAGATAGGCTTGGCCAGGTCAAGGTCCTTCACGATGACACCGGGACGGAGATCGAAGTTGTTGCGGATGATCTCGACCAGCTCGTCGGAGGTCTTGGAGGAAGTACCGTAGCTCTCGACGAAGATAGAGAGGGGCTCAGCGACACCAATGGCGTAGGAGAGCTGGACAAGGGCACGACGGGCAAGCTTGGCGTTGACCAGAGACTTGGCGATCCAGCGCGCAACGTAGGCAGCGGAACGATCGACCTTGGAGTAATCCTTTCCGGAGAAAGCACCACCACCGTGGGCACCCCAGCCACCGTAGGTGTCGACGATGATCTTACGGCCAGTGAGACCGGCATCACCCTGAGGACCACCGATGACGAAGCGGCCGGAGGGCTGGATGTGGTAGACAGTGCGGTCATCGAGGAGCTCGGCAGGGATGACCTTGCGAACAATCTTCTCCTTAATGACAGCACGGAGCTCCTCAGTGGAGACATCATCACTGTGCTGGGCAGAGACGACGACGGTGTCGACGCGCAGAGGCTTGACGCCACCGTTGTCGTGGGCGTACTCAATGGTGACCTGGGTCTTGGTATCGGGGCGCAACCAGGGGATGGAACCATCATTACGGGCGGCCTTCATGGCAGCGTTAAGCTTGTGAGAGAGAAGGACAGTCAAGGGCAGAAGCTCAGGGGTCTCGTCGGTGGCATAGCCGAACATGATACCCTGGTCACCGGCACCGAGCTTCTCAAGAGCCTCCTCGTAGTGAAGACCCTGAGCGATATCGGGGGACTGCTGCTCGATGGCAACCAAGATGTTGCAAGTCTTGTAGTCGAAGCCCTTCTCGGAGGCATCGTAACCGATGTCCTTGATAGCGCCACGGATGATCTTCTGGTAGTCCAGGTGGGCCTTGGTGGTAATCTCACCGAAGACCATAATCATACCTAATGTAACATGTCAGATTGAGATCTGGCCTGAAGTAATCATAGTCAACCTACCGGTCTTGGTGGCAGTCTCGCAAGCGACCTTGGAGAGGGGATCCTCAGAAAGGCAGGCATCGAGGATGGCATCGGAAACCTGATCACTATTGGTGGGTTAGTACATTGACAATTGGAATTGATGGTGTAAAACCCATCTAATAACCCCCCGAGGGCAGAGATGAAAGGGTTTTAGGGGATATAACTCACGCAATCTTATCGGGGTGACCCTCGCCGACAGACTCGGAAGTGAAGAGGAAAGTGCCGCTGTTTGAAACAGAACCCATTGTGACGGTGTGTGAAGAAACGGAAATTGACAAAAAGGGGGAAAGAGGAATGGAGGGAGAAGGAAGAGGAAGATCTCTCGGGGAGGGGAAATTTGGTGGGGTTTTGCTTTTTTTTTCCGAGTTACACAGGCGGTACCAGAGAAAATATAGTGTGAGTGGGGGACCGGTCAGGTACTACCGAAGTACCCTCCCTATTGTCCTTCGTACGCGGTACTTCCTGTCCCTTGTCAACCCGTGATCGCGCCATCCGGGGCGGTGAGTTCGGGCAGATTATACAGCCTTGGAATTTTCGTGTGATAAGATAGAACCATTTGAACTTCTTTTGATTACTTTTTATTTTATATACAACGATGTCCAAATTTGGTGTCCTGGTAATGGGCCCTGCAGGTGCAGGCAAGACCACCTTCAGCAATGCGATAATCCAACACCTTCAAACCACCCGCCGCAGTTGTTTCTATGTGAACCTCGACCCCGCCGCCGAGACATTCGCCTACGAACCAGATCTCGATATTCGTGACCTGATCACTTTAGAAGATGTGATGGAAGAGATGGGCCTAGGGCCAAATGGAGGTCTCATCTACTGCTTTGAGTTCCTACTCCAGAACCTGGAATTCCTTTCAGAGGCGCTGGAGCCATTGAGCGAAGAGTATTTGATCATCTTCGACATGCCCGGCCAAATCGAGCTTTACACACATATTCCTCTTCTACCAACCCTCACAACTTTCCTCTCCCGACAAGGCCCGTTGAACATCAACATGTGTGCCGCCTACCTACTCGAAAGCACCTTCGTCATCGACAAAGCCAAATTCTTCGCCGGTACACTCAGTGCCATGTCCGCCATGCTGATGATGGAGATGCCGCACGTCAATATTCTCAGCAAGATGGATCAGGTCCGCGATATGGTGACACGCCGGGAATTGAAACGGTTTACCAACGTGGATGTGCAATTGCTGCAAGAGAAGGAAGAGGACGATCTCACCGCAGGTGCCAACCCCATGGCCGCGGAATCCTTGATGAGCGGCGGATCTTTCAAGCAGCTCAACCGGGCTGTCGGACAGTTGATCGACGATTTCAGTATGGTTTCGTTCCTGCAATTGGATGTCTCGGATGAGGACAGCGTCGCGGCGATTGTGAGCCACATCGACGATGCTATCCAATACCATGAGGCCCAGGAACCGAGAGAACCCAAGGATGCAGTTGAGGTGAACTACGAGGATTGAGGGGTATCACAGGTGATTACTGCAGCGCTGTGACTTGCAGCAGATTCCCTGCACATTCAAGATCCCCTACGACCGACCACTTCACCCAATGCCACCCCATGCAGCAGCCTCGAGTTTCCGGCAGCGGAGCAGTTCGAGAAAAGTCCCACTTTTCATCTCATATTGCTAATGTACGGCCGATCTTACGATACTGGAAAAAACCTTCCAACATTCTTGTTGCGCCGGACTACACAGCATTTGGAGCTTCCTAGACGTCTGGAATCAACTATACTTACGATACAACCATGGCTGAGGTTACCAGAGTCAGAGTTTGAGGGCTTTGTACACTGCAAATGGATATTCGGTCATATCCTCAGATAACATAAATAATAATGAAACCATAATGAAACCAAAATCAATTCATGAATATTGCTGTCTAGAACTCCAAAAACAAGTCGTTAATCGCTAGACCAATTCAGCAGCATGAAGGAAAGAAATAGGCACTGCGAATTTTCATCATATACCCAGAAACAGGCATACCGGCCAGGAAGAAAGACATCAACAAGCCGGTAATTTTGACTCAATTCCCATCACACAACCCCATCCAATAAACCCAACCCAACCGCCCTACTTGGGTGTTTTCGCATAAGCCGCCGCAGCGATCTTACTCTTTTCCTGAAAATCGGCAACAAAGCCATATACTACACCCCAAAGCCACCCGAAATCCCTGCCTGCATTCTCAACACCAACGCTGTAGACATACCAGCCGACCCCGAGAATCGAGCCCCAGAAGACAAGCCTGAACGCGAGCGTGACCCAGAACACGACCACGCGGTAGGCGTAGTCTAGAATCTTGAGGGAGACGAAGATTATAATGGCGAGGAGGAAGATTGAGAGCAGGTCTGGCATGGAGGAGGAGTAGGAGGCGAGGAAGCTCGAGACGGGCTCGATTAGGTATGGTTGGAGCACCATTGTGCGTAGGTGCGAGAGTTTTGTTGTGAGGTGGTCTTGTGTCGTTGTTTGGAGGTAGGTGAAGGCGGGATTTTGGAGGACTGTTTGGAGGTTTTCTGTGTCCGTGGGATTATTGGTTAGCTTTGCGCCATGGTATTTGTATCTATATGGCTGGAGGATAGGTGAGGTCCGTACCTGGTAGGAAGTCCATGGTCGTTGTGTGTTTGAGTATCTTTGATTGCTGAAGTGGTCGACGAGGGGGAGACGGGGGATAGAGACACCTCGTGTCTTAGATCCCGTGGTTTTCTTTGGCTCGCCGGCGCTTTGTTTGAGATCTTTGGCTCTTTGTGACCCTTGAAAATGGATATGTTCGAGGGGACCGCCGGTGTGAGGTAGGGAAAGAGTGCACTGGCTTTTCAATGTTCAGAGGCGTTGTTCCTTGGACTCGAGAGCGCTTTGTTTGGTCTCGTGTTGGAGCTTGTTGTTGGAGTAGAGCAATGCGACCAGGCCGAGGAGGGGTTTGGTGAGGTGTGTTAGAGGTCAGCTGGAGCGGAGACTAGGAGAGATAGTTTCTGAAGGTATATATTCCGATGCGATCAATGATAGGCAGGTCAAGAAGCGAATGTGACATTCAAGCTGGGGGTTCCAAGTTGCGGCGTGGCACCCGGATGAAAAGAGGATGCAAACTAAACAAACGTCGCATGTGAAGAGATGCTCTACTTGCGATATTAGTCTCACTTATACTTTGCTCTCAGCTGATCTCGATATATTTTATGATTATCAGATTGTTCACAAATAATACTATACAATAGATTAGATATTTACCCAAATAGAGACGGTTTCTATATACAAGCACGACCAACAACAGTCAACCACCAGTCTCGTGAGTGTAAAAGACAAAACGCCCCAAGCCCAAGTTAGGGAAGATATAGCGCGATGCCACACGCATGATCTTCATCAAAAGAACCCAAAACAAAAACCCGGGACTCCGGGCTAACTCCAAGATATTGCGCTCTACCATCGCGGGCGATGGGAGCGCAAATGCATATGCAGACGTGGTATAGTAAGATAGTAGGAAAGGACAAAGCGCGAGGTTTGTCAAAATTACAGGGCGTTGATGAGCCCTCTGAGGGCGTCACGCTCAGCTTGGATCTCGGTCTGGAGTTGGCGGGTCTGGCGGAGAGCGTCGTCTCTGTGGGATGAGTTAGTAAAAGATGGGAAGAAAAGAGAGAATATAAGATGAAACACGAATTGCATACCTGTCAGTTTGAAGCTGAGCCACATCGATCTGCGTGCGGTTCATCCGTCCAACCACTTGCTCCATCTCCATATCCGCATCACGGAGGAGCTTCTCGAGATCTTTGACTCGTCGCTCGAGGATTTCGGACTGGACAACCTCGGTCAAGGGTACACCCTCGCCGCTCGTGGTCTGGTCCAGACGCGGCGAGCGAGAATCGAATGGTGCGTTCGGCGGCCGCGGGGAGAGGCCGACTGTGTTGCGACCACCATTCATCATCCGCGTGAGCTGGGCATGCTGGCTTTCCTTCAGCAGACGAATCTCATCCTCGTGCTTGCCCATCTCTTCTTCTGAGTGGTTTTGCGCAACCAAAAGAACTTCCTCGAGCTCCCTCATGCGGTTCTGCAGTATATTAATCCGTTCAACCGAGATCTGCTGATCTTTGTCACCCTTATCAATGGCTGCTGCTAGACGGGCATGCAGAGAGGTGTTAGTCTGAAGCTGGTAATGGACCTTGCTGCCCAGTGCCTCAGTCCGTAGAAAGGAGGAAGCAAGCTCTTCCGAATCTGCAACATCCGCCTCAGCTTCAGCTCGATCCGCCTGCAATTGCTGGAATGCAGATTCCAGGGAAGAGGATGTGGTCACGACCTCAGCAAAGCCTTCTTGGCCGGTCATCAACTCTGCACCAGCGGCAGTGTCCTCCAGAAGAAGCGCGCGTAGAGAGCTGGTCTCCTGCTCGGCACGGTCTAAGTCCATCTTGAGACCAGCGAGGTTCTTCTCGCACTGCCACTTGCCATCCAGGGCATCCTCAGCGCGCATGCGGAGATGATTCACCTCGTCACGCAAGTTGCGCACATCTCTCTCATAGCCCAATTTCCGAGGCTGACCCGATTGTTGGGCTCGAGCAAGCTCCATTTCGAGCATACGAGTGCGCTTCTCGTACTCGCGGGCCTGGTATGCCTGGCGATCGAGGAGGCTCCGCAATGTCCTGTGGAGGGCATCGCGTTGAACCTCGATATCGTGAACCTTGTCAACCAATGATTCACGTGTTTCTGGTGATTTACCACCGCTGTTATTATTGACCGAGTTCGACCGAGAAAGCGAACCTGAGCGAGCTAAGCCGCTGGGCTTGCGTGCAACGGAGCTCGATCGTGATACTCCAAATGCCGAGTTCCTAGGTGAGCTACCTTCCTCGGCGATCGAAGCGAATCGACCACCCTGTAGCTGGGCCAAAGAGGCATTTTCGATTTTTAAAGCTTCAATTTCCTCCACGAGCCTGTTGTCATCTCGAAGCTGATCTCGATCATTACGCAATTGTTCCAACTCTACCCGCATGGCGGTAAGTAGGTCCTCGAAGTTATCTTTGGATTGCCGCTCTTCAAGCAGCTTTCGCTTGGTATTTTCCAGTGCGGTCTCAAGTTCCTTGGTTTTCGACGACAAATCAGACATATCCGTTCTGTCACGTCGAAGCTAGATAAATTGTTAGCAGCATTCATATATTGGGCATAATTTGCCGTACCTGTTGAACTTGAGATTCCAAGATTTGGACATGCGACTCTGATGCCAACCGCTGAGACCGCTCCTCCTGTAACTTCTGCGATAATTCGACCTTGAGCTGTGCCCGTTCTTGCTCTGCAGCGCGGCGAATCTTTTCGATATCTTCGTTCTTCCCATAATCTGAGGCATAGCGAACAGAGCTAGTACCCGAGTCTGAAAAATAGTCACTTGTCCGTCGATTGACGTCCGGACCTTCTAATTGTAGCCGTTCGACTAGATCCTCCAGATCCATTTCTCGGCGGATAGATCCCGCCAATTCAGAGCTTATCTCTCGTAATTCATTCTCAATCTCTGCCATCTTGGACATAAATATATTTTCCTTTAAACTTGAAGCCCCCAGTGAAGGGGTCCGCGCCGGAAGACCATATCCATTGGTCTTGGAATCGTATGGAGAGCCCGGTTTGAAAGGGACGTTTGCTAATGGTGGCATAGGAGAAGGCATTGCTGATCGACCGGAGTCGGAGATCTCGGTGCTGGATGATTCACCTCCAGGGGATGTAGCTGTATTATTATTCGCCGCCTTCCAGCCGAAGAAGGAGCTGATCTTATTTCCAGGGGTTTTTGGGTGTCTTGGATCTCCTGCACCCATTGACATTGATATCGAACGCGGGTCTACGTCAATATGTAATGGGGGTGGTCTGTTCATAGGCGGGTGTAATGCCATACTCGTTGCCCGTCGTGACGATCGTTTCGTTGGAGGAGGGGATTTGAGGACCGGGATGAATGGTTCGCTATCTAGACGATTGTGCAGAAAGGTTCCATTCATGAACTGGTTTTCGTATTCTTCGTCAAAGTAGTCGGGACCCTCGTCTTCGTCGTCGTCGTCGTCCTCAAGCACAGATCTCAAGTACGAAGCGGAGCCGTGGCGGGAGGCGGCGGTATCGATGTGTAGGGGTTGGTTAGGGTGCGGTCCTCGGGAATATCTGGGGAATTGGGACAGAGGCACGCGATTAGTCTTCCAAACTGTGGAGAAGCGGAATAGCATGTGTAGGCCATATCATGCTTGATCGGTAGGTAACTGGGGAGAAAAAGGAGGGTCCGCAGAAAGATCCAGGAGAGGAAAAGCCGGGGCCATGGTGGTCGCGTACCTATTCGGGTTCTTTTGTACCGATATATATGAGTCTCCATCCACCGACAAAGGGGATAGTGGTTTAGCCACAGGTGCAGTGGGAATTGAAGCGGGTTTATCTCCCTCGAACGAAATGGGAGGGGAGGGGTGGTCAGGGCCCGAATTCACTGGATCACCATTGTGCGGGAGAGGTTTCCTTCGCACTGGAGGAGTAGTTGGAGGATTGGGACTAGAGTAGCTCTCTGAATGGGCGGGAGAGCCGCCAAACCCAACAGGAGACGCCATGAAACACCCTGGTCCGTATCAAAAAATAGCCATGGATCGACAGTCGTTCATGCCGATTAGCACGGAAAAGAGAATGGCACGCGCCAATGAGACGACCAAAAGGGTAAGGATTATTCTCAGGAGAACATCAGACGAGAAGGGAAATGGGAGGAAAAGGAGAAAGTCTTGGTACATGACAACCCGGGGCGATTGGCGCAAACCGCCCGTGGGTTCTCCATTTCATTAGCGCTGGCTTCGGGACGAGTAAGCGTGGGTGGAGCGCAGGGGGGCTGGCGTGGGTCTGGACTTGCATCGATTCGATTGGTACGGATACTTTGTACAATGGTGCTCTGGCCGGTAGGATCGACATCACTTGAACCTACCATGAAGCGTGGCGATATGGTTGATGTCTTCTTCCTCGATAATCCGTACTCGGTAAAATGTTTTATATTGGGACGATATATGTTGTACTCCGTACTCTCTGTACGGAGGATATGGAGTATACGGTGACAAGGTTCCAAAGATGAAAATAGAACATTCAATAGTGTCAAGTGGCACAAAGAACCCCTTGAGTCGTGGAGAGAGGTTGGTCCGGGCTAATAATGCTTGGCGATTCAGGGGTAGCCTTTCAAGGTACATTACCGGGAATGTATTTTTCAGTAACTTTCCTTATCTTTAATACGCAAAAGACACTTTAAAGTACTTTATGTCTACATGTATATGTACCTTTTGGTATTTGACCTTGGTAGGGTCCTGCCAACTACATCTGAAGTGCTATTCATTATTATACTAGATTTATATTATATATTTCATATGGTTTTTGTATATAACTTCAACAACGGAAGCTCAATATGTGTGTGATTAATTGTCTGTAGTAGATTAAGGGGCCCTCGAAAAAAAAAAACCCCCCATCTCCCACAGTGGAGATATTGCCCCTTTTCCCCTTCGGGAGTTCCCTCTCTAGTCCAAGCTTCTCAATTTTGTGAAAAGACCAAGGTTTTTCTCTGCCAGAAGAACGTGCTCAATTCACAATACTGCACGCTAACCACTGTGCCATATCCAATCAAAGTGAGATGTCGATCGACACAGCGTACCGCCAGACACTCGGGCCAGCGCGTGGGCCGGCATGTGTTGCTTCAACGGGCTAAGCGCTTAGGCCAAAGAACCTGTTCCTGCATCGTGTCACATAAGGAAGTTGGCCAATGTGATTGTACTACGGAGCCCAGTCCACAGATATGGGATTACAGAGCTGAATCTTAAGTTGTTCACCACTGAAGACTCCACCTAAAGAATCACCACTTACTGCAATTCGTATGGATTGTTTTCGCGCCTGGAACTGATTGGACAACCATGTGTTCCTTGCTCCAGCTCATGACTCAAGGATTGAACTCTATATTGTACATCGATGTCCATGTACAACATATACTTCTCAATCTCCCGTGGTATGAATAAAATGCCCCGCACTAATCACCACACTACTCTTAGTTAACACTAAGGTCCGAGAATATTAAATTATTATACAATTATTGTGTCTCCAACCCCTTATCGATCTACACCGGTTTTATTCAGGGCGTTTATGGGACTTCTGAGACTCGCTCTGTGTTACGCCCCATAGAGACAATTGTTTCACTGGTCTTACGGAGTGCAACATATGTAATAAATTAGACTAGATGCTACCATCCCGACGAGTAAGATACAAAAATATCCTTGCGAGGTGGCTTGATCTATTTATGAAGTTAATGGTTCTAGAATGCGGCTCCATAAGGGTCCACCATAGCTGTCGTAGACTAAGTGAAAAGCTCATGATTCCGAGACAGTGTGATACAGCACATAGTACTCCGTACTCCGTATATTGCTTTTGATTTTTAAAATTAGGAATGAACTGGGAACATTCTGGGTTACTTGATCCCAAACACACGCACCTTACTTGTTAATTCAACACCATCGACTCCGTACGAAGTACTTATTCAATATTCAAGCACTAAGCAGCTGTCTCAGTCCACCTGCACGTCAATGAAGAAAAAGTGGCTTATGCCTCCCCGTTTGATCCACTCTCTTCGCACAGTCTAGACCATGTCTCACCCTTGAACTTGTCTCACATTCAAAGACTTGATAGATAGCGCGCGCCTGTCCGGTGATCAATGATCTTCTGGCTTTCTTTAAATTCCAGCCACAGCCGTTCTATCATTAGAAGCAGTTGAGAGTGTCTGGATCCCTCGGGCGGCTATCTGTTTCGATGCTGCTTACGCTGTTTCAGGGGCCCTTGCTGTGTGTACTTTGTGCATCGCTGGACAAGATGGAACAGAGGTATGCTGAGCTCCTAGAACATATCTGGTGCAATGTCTGGCTCATACACATCATGTCCCCGAACCGACTTTTATAAGTATGGCGGTGAGCATAGGATCAGGGATCAGGGATCACAGCCTCGGCTCTTCTCTTTCATATTCTTCTTTCTCCCTCTCTTTGACCCTAATCCATACCCATCTTTCGCAGGTTTATCATTTTCCAACCTCAGCCACAGCAGAACCATTCGACAAGGATTGTACCACATGTAGTTGGACCCACGACATACAAAGGCCATGCGATTATCCTAGCTACCTCAAACCTTTTCTATCGGGCATCTGAACGGGGCGTCTGGTTCGCCGGTTCTGATGTAATACTGGAAGATCCCGACGAGGGCTCAAAAGCAAAAATTGCAGTCAGAACACTGAACCAACCGGAATCCTAGTCCGACATACCCATTCCGAAGCTTCTGCGTGAGTAGGTCGGTCGTGAGGGACGATACTTCCGTATGACCGAATTCGTAGATAGCCAAGCACCCGAGGATGCATGTCCTTCATTGTTAAAGGCCTAAAAGATAGCCGTCGCTTTGGATTTATCGGAATGGACGTTGCTAGAGCGCTTGAGCATCCAAGATGAGGCACATGGAGACGCTAAGGCATTTTGGACCGTTCTGCGTAATCTAAGATCTTATCTGTATTTGCAGTAGAAAGGTCAACCGGCGAGAGACCTCTATCTTGAATTGAATTATCCGCAAATCTGCGTATTTGGTTAAATGTTATTATGCCTGACCTGCGTTGTCGTGGGTGTTGCGCGGCATAACGAAAGTGACCCATATGCCTCTTCGACTCGGCGAAGTGAGCGCATGATCTAGAAAAGCGTTACTGAAGAGGAAGTTGAGTGTCAGAATAAACCATGCAAAATGTTGAATCAAGATTCTTCGCATATTTCTAGGTTAGTCCCGACAAAGTATAAAAAGACCGCAAGAACATTGGTGTTCAGACAAGAAAATAGTCCCCTTCATGATACTCATTGATATTATCCCATTAAACCCACGCCCCGATATTAGAATCAATTACCCAAAATTATTACTATTCCAATTGGGGTTATACCCTCTCGCAGTCCCAAAGACATTCCGTATTTCATAATTTCCGTTTGTGCTTTCGTAATGGGTAAAACCGGCGAGACACCCAAGGATAGTATGGAAGAAACCGGTGATGGCACCGTACACAGCCCCAGCGGCAGCAGCAACATTGTAAGGGCAGACATCGTAGCCTGCATGTGTACATTTCAAGTGTTAGCCAAATCATACGTCAACAGATGCAACAGGGGCAGCGAAGAGAGTGGTCTCCAAAGCTTTCATGAGATAGAAGAGACGGCAACTGACCTCCGTTATGTGCCATACGAGCAAAGACGTATCCCCCCAAGGCATCGAATCCCATAACACAAAGTTGTGTCTGAGGTTTGCTACCATATAGTCCTCCAGCCGCTGAAACACAAAACAATATTAGCAATGGAGAGCTGCAAGTGAAGAAAAAGGACTTACATTGATATATCCCCATATTTTCTCCTGCGAGGGGAATAGCAGCGACAACAGCCGCAATAAGCAAGGCGCTTGGTGCTATATACCGTTAGACACAATAACCAGATAGGTCATAATTATAACCACCAGCTGAGGCCGCACATCACGGAGCTTCTAGCTGAACAATAATCCAGAGAACAAGTTTGCACTCACTTTCTCCAAGTACCAAATTGCTAATTTCCGCCGTGACCAGGACACAAATTCCAAAGCCACTTGCTACCAGAGCTAATAGAATCCACGCGGGGGTTGGCAAACCCGCGTACCCCGCGAATTCGACGAATGCCAACACCCCGGATTTAGTGACTCCAGCAAGCGCACCGAGTTGCAGTGCTCTTCCTGTCAGTGGACTCCCATTGACATGCGCGGCGGTCGCTACTGCAGCTGGACCGGCGGCGGCGTTTACTGCGATGTCCAACGCAGCCAGGGCGAAGAACGTCCATACTAGAGAGTAAAGGGCATTGTTAGTATTGGGTTGAAGCATGATCAAGTCGCAGGAAGGAAGTCATTCTGATTTGATTTTGGTTCATGGATAGGAGAAATTGAGACTCACTGTTAATAGCAGGACGATTTACATCGTCCATATCCATGGTGATAATTGTTAGCAACAACCAGTTCGATTCATGCACTGTAATATAAGTAGAAACGATTCACAAGGTTGAAATATATGCCTGGCACTGAGAATGAGAGTGGATGTCTTATAAGAAAATCCAATTTTTTAGCCAAGACTTGATAGATAAGGCAAGCTCCCCATTTCTAGCTGCCAAAAGCCTCGTGGAGTCACATGGATGACGCTGGGAGAGGCTGAAAAAGCCCAAGGTCTTGATTACTGGCACAGGTAGATTAATCACGAAGCATTAAACGAAGGGCTGCAGTAGTTTGACTATACAGTTCCCGATTGACCAATCAAAGGGGCTCATTTACCGAGACTAAGTCACTGGCGTTCCCTATGGAGCCCTAATTCGGCCTTAGCGGTTCCTGCAGTAAGCATTTGCTCGGGCGCCACATGGGGCATCCTGAGGCGACCCAATCCCAGTGCGATTAACATCATCTTGGCAGACTCAGCCGCCGGCTTTTGGTCTTCATCTAACCTGGAAGAATGATGTTTTTGACTGGCGGTCGCAGGGTTTCGTGGCGCAATGCTACTGCTTAGCCACGTTCGTGCCCGGGCATATGCTTTTTACTTTTCCTCCTTCGTTTCCTTCGCCCTTCCGTCATGCGAACCGACAGAGACTCATCGAGGAATGTAAAAGTGATAATGGATATTTGAACCGAGACTAAGATATAGAGCGTCTCACCCCTCCACCCAGGTCGCTGTAGCATATCGCTTGGAAAGTCGCTGCAAGAATCATTGTGCAACAAAGCATGAACTCAACAGCCTGTGTCATCGAGGCTAACCCCGATGTATCTGGACTCGGAGTAAGTCTCGTCTCATATGCCATAATTCTCATCCTATCGCCATTTAGCTCCCTACCTTGAAAAAAAAGAAACCCCCAGCTAAACCATTATTCACAGATCCGTGTATCGATCTACGCCCTCTGCCTAGGCGGGTCGATCGTTAGCTATCTACTCCGCGTATTTGCCCCAGGCGAAGACCAAGAAGAGTTCTCGCGAGGCGTCTCCTCCGCCCTCGGCCTGCAAGGCCTAGCCCTCCTCTGCACAGCAATCTACCAGACAGTTCGGGGCGACCTAACACTCTTCCATGCGATATGTGTCGTGCACCTTCTTGCCATACTCGGCATGAACATGGTGAGCAAAGGCCGGTATGCAGGACTCGGCCCATGGCGACTGTATTTCTTCTCCGCAATCCAGGTCCTGGCTTTGGCGGCGTTCCTCGCTTTAAACGTCTATGTCTGGGTGAAGGCACCGCAATTTGGTAGCCAGCCCCAGTGCAATAAGGATACGGTGTATGTGGTATTTGGTGTCAGCATCAAAGCCACTTCTCCTGTATTCCGGTATATCATTCTCGCGACGCTGGGTGCAGTTGTGGCTGGTTATGCTCTTACTTTCACGTGTATGTTACCGTGCCTGTGTGGGTACGTTGTGTATCGGAGACGGCATCCCGACGCTGGAAACAGGATTGAGGGTCAGAAGAGAAGTTGGATGAATTGGTTTGTGGAGGTTAATCGTCCTGTTTACCAAGATCGTCCTGAGGTACCCGAGAGGCTGCATGGCAAGGCGCTGCTCAACTTTACGCTGAACAAGGTCGCGTACTGTTCGTTCTGCATATACTTGATTGTCTCGCTGGAACAGACTATTAATCGCAACGACCTCGACCCTGCAGAGAAAGGGTGGACGTTCGGACAGGTTATTGCGATTTTTTTGTTGCTGGGTGTCGCCAATGAGCTACTTAATGTTCTTCTTGCGAGTTGGGATCGGAAGCAGGCTGAAAGTTCTCAGCAGCTAGTGCAGTTTAGGCCGGGCACTGGGAACTCGGTGCATTCCTCATCTTCTTGATATGTTCATGTCCATATAGCTACTTTAAGATAGTGTAACACCATGCAGCAAGGCGCTCACAGTATTGCTGATATCCGAAATGATCATGAAGCCACGTTTTGGATCATACGAGTGTTTCTTGGAAATTCCCGCGGGCTCCGATCTCGTCTGTAAGTCTAAATGCTATGGTCAGTATAGAAGAGGTGAAAACTTGTCATGTAACCACATACTGGAAGCCTGCTGCCGCATAAGCGGCCCGCTATTCTTGTATTGTTAACGAAAGGTTGTCAGGGCTAGAATCTGAATGTGCATAAAGGTTGGAGGAAAAGTCTCATTTTACGAGGTCGAAGTGACCTCGGCCCCGGAACAATTGCAGCCCTGGAGGTATGACTGCTCCGCCTAAAAGGGAAGGCACGCTGTGATGCAGGAGCCAATTCGTTGTATGACACCAATTAATTTGTACAATACAGGATATATTCTATTTACAAACCCGAGTGATGTAAGTCTAAGCACGAAAGATCCCAGCCAAGATGCGTTCAGTTGGCGGCCCACTAAATGGTAGGTAAACATCTAACCAGTTCGCCCTCATTTCATAGTACTGTCAACCAGCTCGCGGTAGATCTTCTTGAGATCAGCGATATCGGCATTGAGCTCGTCAACCTGCTCGCTCTTCTCGCCCAGCATCTCAAGAGTAGTCTGGTAGCGCTGATCAAGGTCTTCGAGTTCAGCTTCGAGTTCCTGCACGCGGGAATCCGAGAGCTGCTTCTCTTCGAGCTCACGCATAAGGTCCACAACTTGTTGTCGGGCTTCGTCGCGCTGGGTCGTCACGCGGGCCAGCTCGTCCTTGGAGCCGGCGCGCTCGCTCTCTAGGCGGCGGACTGTGGCACTCATGCGCTCGACCAGCTGCACGGAAGGGCCGGCGCCGACAGTTGACTCGGAAATTATGTCGTTGATACCGCGCGATGGAGGTGCTTGAGTGCCGCCGTACGCTGAAGGAGTGGCAGGAGTACCAGAATCTTCGAAATACTCTTCCGGCTCAAATGTGATGGAGGGCGCTGCCATGAGTGATGTATTGGTGTTGATGTGTGGGGGAGAAAGCGTAGCTTGGGTGATTGAGGCAGGGTAAGAGTTTTGCCGGGGCGGCGTGCCAATTTCCGGCGAGGTGAAAGCCATAGTAGATGAGCGCCGGCTAGGAGGGCGGAAGTCCGAGAGCCCTGGGGTCATGGCGTCGAGGGTGCTCGATCGCCGTAGAGAAGCAACGGGTGATACTCCGCGCAGTTGCGACGGGGGGTTCACCTGCTCTCTCCATTTGGCCCGCTCCTCCTCGAGCTTCTGCGCCCATGTTGTGTCGCATGTTTTCTTCTGCTCAGCCATGTTCTTCTGCATTGAGGCGAGGTCCTCTGCCGCTTTCTCAAGTTTCTGTTGCAGCTTCTGCAGCTCTTCCATGCGTTCCTCGAGCCTGCTGTCCAAATCGTGCTCGGCTTCTTTGGCGTTGTCTAGTTCCTCTTCGAGCTTCTTTAACTTGTGGTTCTACATTGCTGTTGGTTAATCCGGCGGTACACTAAGGCATGGAATTTGAAATCTTACCATCTCTCGAATCTTCTTCCGGAGGTCGATCTCACGTCGACCAGCATCATCGCGTTCTTTCTCCACACTAGCCAGGCGTGAGAGCAAAGAGCCCTCTAGTGTATGCCAGTTTTCACTAGCGGCGGCATATTGAGTTTGCAGGGTCTCGATCTGACGCAAAAGTTTGGCTTGGGTCTCTCCAGTTGCCCCCGATGAAGCTTCCTCTGCGCGGGAGCGAAGGCTTTCCATCTTGCTTTCCAAGACAGATTGTTCGCCTTTCAATTCGGCCTCGAGAATTCGAGCCCTTTCTTTCTCTTGCTCCGTCTTCTCCTTCAACTCGGTAATCTCCCTCTTGGACTTTTCTTCACTGATGTCGCGTTCGATCTTCAGGTTGCATAGCTCCTCGTCTAGCTCCGCCGCCCGTTGCCTCTCCAACTCTAGAGCGTCTGAGTTCGCCTTTGTCTCGGCGGTTTCAGCGCGGGAAACCGCCCGACTCAATTGCAATTTTATCTCTTGCACAGTTTGGCTGAGCGCATTGCGTTCATTGGTAACAGCTTCCAAGTCTTTAATCGACTTTGTTTGGGATGACAAAGACTCGGTTGCCCTCTTCTCTGCGGCCTCTGCCCGCTTGGCTCTTGCTTCGGAGTTGACTAAGTCTCGCTCAAGCTTGTCCGTCTTTCTCTTCATTTCAGTCTGAGATTTGGTGTTTTCGGTAAGTTGCTGACGCAATTTCTTGATCACCGTGCGGTGGTCCATCTCCGACTTGGACAGCTTCTGCCCTTCTTCAAGAAGCAATGCAATCTTCTCATCTTTCTCTAAGAGCTGCTTTTGCGTACTCCCTGGGGTAGCACTTGCCGCAGCATTTTTAGCCGATTCCGCAGCATCTTTAGCGAGGTATTTCAACTTCGACTGCAATGCATCAATACGTTCAATATAACCATGCATTTCTTCTTGCCATTGAGACTCGGCGGTTTTATGCTCAGCCTGCAAGCGAGCGATATCCGGGTTTTCACCCTCTGGTACCTCGGATGGCGATTCAACGCTAACCCGCGGACTATCGCCCAAAGCAATATCACTCAGTACCGAGTTGCGTAACGAATCCGATATCTCTTGACTAGCTTTGGCCGAGTCGATTGATGGCTGAGCTACATCCACAGAGGTCCTGGCCGCCGCGGAGTCTGCGACGCTGATGTCTGTTGAAACACGCGGTGATACCCCGGAGTCGTAGCTTATCCTCGGTGAGGCTATTTTAGCTGCACTGTTGTCGTCATTCGGCTGCGAGATCTTGGGGTCTTCCACCGCACTATTCACCGATGCAACGCTGGGTTCAATGTCCATACTCGACCGAGCTCCATTGCTAGGTACTGGACTAGCAGGCGGTGATGAGACTCGGCTCTGAGGAGACTGCGAAGAGAGATTCGAGGCATTCTGCTTCACCATAGCTCGGGCTAGACGTTCCTGAAGCCGGTCGTTTCTTCGCGCGGTCGATGAACTGCGGGATACCGCTGAAAGATGTTAGCCAGTTCTACCGAGTCGCAGACGTGTTGTGGATTTCATACAAGCAACAGGAGCCTTTGCCGGTGGTGCCTCTCCGCCCTGAGTTTCGGTGGGCTTTGCAGTAGAGCCGGTCTGGTTTCCTTCCTCATCCATCAAGATGTGGTCCAGCCGAGACTCGACGCCGGCTACTGCCTGCTGGAAAAAAGAACCCACTCCCCATTTCTGCTTTTGTGTCTGCGAGTTCTGCGCCATCGTGGCGGAATTAATGTATTGGAAATTGCGAACAGGCTACTAAGCGGCAAATGCCTCGTGTCGCATTCGCATGGATTCGGTGGGGGCTGCGCTCGGACGTCGACTTGCGATTATCGTGGGGGACGTTTCAGAGTCAATTCGACGATAATCTTGCTAGATGTGCCGAAGCCTAGACGACAATGGCAAGGACTTGCCGTGAGGGCGAAATGAGAAAGACTGACAGGATTTAAGCCGAATGCAGAGTACTAGGCGGAAACCCGAACAATGATGAAGGCGCTGGACCGATAAGACAGTGAACGCGTTGTAAATGATCGGCAAGAGAAGACTTATAGAAACAAGAAAGACAATAGAGAATTAGGAAGCGAGAATCAAAATAGAGAACAGAAAACAAAAGTTGAGGCTATGCGTTGAGATACCGTCGGTCTTGGCACAGGCTTCCGTCATCCCCAAGCTCCCCCGTCTCTCTGGACACACCTCCAGTTTGTATCATTCACAGCCAGCGACGCTCCTTTTTCTGGCTCCGAATCCCCCCAGATTACACCCAAGATGTCACTGGAGCCACCCACCTACCTCAGCTCCCTCCAGAATAACATTCGAGCTCGACCAATTCCGTGGGAGGGTGCCGTCCGAGCGGGCAACATCACCGATGACCACTTGAAGAAGATCAAGGCAGTGGATAAGGTGCGCAAGGATCAACGCCGCCAGACGATAGAAGGAGACCTTGCTGGATACAGAGATCTGTTGGCCGGCGGCGCACAGGGAAAGAGTGTCTTGGACTCCGCCTCTCGAAGGACCGATATTGTGCAATATATACTGGTGCTAGCCTCGGACTTGATTCAAGGTATATTCCACTCGTGGAGCTGAAGCTCTGAGGAATCATGCTGATCTGATCTTCAATAGATGTGCCTTCTTTGGCCAACTCGCTTGTTTCTCACCCGGAACCGTACAAGCCCTTCCTACCGTTCCTACAGCACTCGACAAACGCCGAAGACCCCATTCCTCTGCTCACGTCTACCTTCCTCACGGCGCTCGTGTCGCACAGTCTCGTTGCTTCATCCAAACCTGCACCGCGCGACAACGAAGCTCTCCCACAGCTCTACACCTATCTCTCTACCTTAACCAAGAATCAGGACAGCGGGCTCCAGGACATTGGTGTGCAAGGATTCTCAGAGCTGCTGAGAACTAGCCGATCGAGAGAGATCTTTTGGGCGCAACGTCAAGAGACCCTGGCCCCCTTGATCGACACTCTTCGAGCTGCGGCCGGGGCTAAAGACAACGTCAGCAACGCGAGCACACTGGGAAGCAGCACTCGCAGCGTCGAGCCTGGTCTCGCCGGTGGCGTTGGCCTCCAGCTTCTATATCGGGTGCTCCTTGTTCTGTGGCAGCTTGCGTTTGAGGGCGCTCTCGTTGGCGAGGAACTTCAAGAGTAAGTGAAGTGACGACAAGATATCGGTTGACACTCTGAGCGCCGACTAACCCCACTTAGGAACTATGAAATTATCCAACTCTACATCCACCTTCTGCGTCTCTCGCCGAAAGAAAAGACCACTCGCTTGCTTGTTGCAACTCTGTACAATCTTTGCTCCAGCAACCGGACGACGCTGCTACCCATCGCCGTGTTCCTTCGACTCCCCGCCCTCCTCACCAACTTGGCTGGTCGTCACCTGACCGACCCCGACCTGCTCGAGGATCTCAACGCGCTCTCTTCCATGTTGGATGAGTACACCAAGACACAGACCACCTTTGACCAATATGCCGCCGAAGTTCAGACGGGCCACCTGCGCTGGTCGCCCCCTCACAAGAACCCGACCTTCTGGAAAGATAACGCTCGACGAATTGTTGAGGAGTCGAACGGCGCTTTGCCCAAGAAACTGGCCGAGATTCTGTCTAAGAGTTGGGATAATGACAAGCAGGTGCTGGCGATTGCTTGCAGCGACGTAGGGCACTTAGTGAAGGAGGTTCCCGAACGCCGTGGGCAGTTGGAGCGACTAGGCTTAAAGACGCGGGTGATGGAACTGATGGTTGATCAAGATGAATCAGTACGGTGGGAGAGCTTGCACGCTGTCGGCGAATGGCTTCGATATACCTTTGAGGGCTGATCCCTCAAAGAGGACTTTTCTGATATGTTGATGGCTTTCCAGGATGAACATATACTCTGGTTGGCATGTACTGTGTATTTTCTTGCCATAGCGCATACTCGCTTCCTTTTTTTTGGGATCTTAGAATCATACTCATCTATGAACTTCAAGGCCCCTAGATTCTGATACTCCAATACTCTCCAAATGGCGGTGGATCTTGCGATCGACCGCTAAAGAACCCCAGGATGTGCAACGGTGCAAGACAAGAACACGACCCCTCGATTTCTCTCTATAGAATCCAATATAATAACTTCAAGCCCTATTGCTGTTCCCCAGAAATTATATTTGCCACGCGGGCGGGTTATGTCCGGGGAGCTTTCCATTCCCCGCAGGAATTCTTCGCCCAGAACATCATCCCACCAACAGCACCCATGTCGAGATCCTTCACAGGCTGCAAGAGATGTAAGGCACGCCGACAAAAATGTGACGAGCAGAGACCGAACTGCGGGCGCTGCCAGACTGCAGGCGAGCAATGCCAATATGCAATGCAGTTGCAGTGGGGTGGACGGGCGTTCTCGCGATCCCGGTTTGGTGCTTGTGTCGGGACAGGAGGCATGCAGAGACTCGGTATGTACTTTATACCAGAGGGATTTTGTACCTAGTTCTGACGGTTCCAGAATATTCCCCAGGAGAGTTCATCTACACCACCAAGACGGCGGTGCAGTCACCCAGCGCCAGAACCGGATCAGATCTCACTCTGTCGCAACCCGTCGATCCATTCTCGTCCTTGTCGTCCAGTCAAAAGGCCCTTTTGCACCATTTTATCAACGATGCCTCTCAAATCACTGCGTGTCATTCGGGGATGCAGCAGGACATATGTCGTATGCTGATCCCAATGGCTCTTCAGACTCCCTCCTTACTTTACGCTACCACCGCCCTATCGGCGATCCATATCCAAGCCCTACACAACCAATCGGAGAGTGTAAAATCAGCACCGGATATTGCCCAGCTAATGGCTCTCAGTCTTGAACATTTCCGAACAGAGCTGCAGAATCCCTCATCCAAGGACCCCGAGGCGCTGGTAGCGACCGCTCGAACGCTCTGTCTAGCTGAGATCCATTCTGGGGCGATCAACCCGAACTCGTGGAGAGCACATATTGACGGGGCGAGAGCATTGATGAGGGCATCGGACGCCGCTGGTGAGGATTCCCTGCGGTCTACAAGCGGTTTCCGGCGGTATTTGGATCGTTGGTACTGGTCGATCGTGTCGCTTACGGCACTGACGGGCAATGGTCCACCCATTGGAGATGTTTCGGACTTCGCCTCCTCTGATCTGATGGGGTTGGGCGGGTCTCCTGATTATTTAGATGACTATTGGGGGTTCAGTGTAGACCTTGCGGCTGTCTTTAGACAGATCGGTGCTGCCGCCTGGCGAAGTCATGAAGTCGAGAAAGCTACTCAGGGCTTTGTCGCAGGAGAGATTGACGGCAGTGTCGAGGATGATGCTGCGTCCTTGGAGTTCGCAATTCGACAGCTCATGAACCGCGACTCAAGCTCGCAGCCCTTGTTTTACCCTACAGCCGCAGTAGGCTTATCTGCGGAGAGCGCGCAGCAGCTCCTGCTATGCAATGAGGCATTCCAACACAGTGCGCTTATTCAGATCCACCGACGACTTCGGAAAACACCAACTACGTCGCCAGAAGTGCAGCAGTCGGTCCAGCGTATCTTGGAGTGCACCGCGCAGATTGGGCCATCGTCCGGTCTCTCGCCTTGGGTGATGCTAACGACACCAATCTTTATTGCGGGCTGCGAGGCGCGCGGTCAAGATCGAGATACAGTCAGGCAACTGCTGTCGTCCTTGCATGACACTATTCGCGTTCCGAACGTTCTCCAGTCATTGAGATTCCTCGAGCAGTATTGGTCTAACCAACTCAGTGAGGAAGAAGACTGGAGCCATTTCCTGGGTATGAATTTTTTTCTTCATTGTTTCATTGTTTATGCTAACATCTCCTAGAACGAATGCAGTTCGATTTCATCCCTTACTAGGAAGACTAGCCGGCGAGAGCCTGTTATGCGTCATGTGCAATGATTCATGTTTTTGAGTTTGGGTTGTATATATTATCTTCTGTTGTTACACTAACTTTCCGTGTCAACAAATCGGTGTTGGCAGGGGTTTTGGCATGCATATGTCCCTATTTAAGCCCTGGCGTTTGGAGTGGCTAGTAATAAATATTCTTTTTAGCAATTGTACATAAGATGTCTTTTTCCTTTTGAAGCCAACACTTTTCTTTGGGTTCAGATATATTCAAATGTGTAACTCACAAGTATTAGCTCTAATACATTGAGTCACAGAGATATTGTAGTGAAAAATGCCAAGGACGTCAAAGTCGGAGCTAAGCAGGAGATATATAAAGACGGAGCTAAGCGGCTAAGCTCCGGACATAATCACATTGTAAATGACGCGATGAGTCAAAAAAAAAATGATAAACCGATTGTATCATTTAATTTCAAAGCTTCTTAATCCCGAGAGGTCTAATTTATAGCATAACGTAATGTTATACGGGTCGGGGTCGGGTGAACTCATATACAAAACCCTAATATGGCGTCTATGGGCCTTTTTGATTGGTGCAGACTCTAACCCGCAACCCATGGATCGTATAATATCTGATTATCGATCAATAGATGCATTTGGATCCTTTGAAATCAGGCATGTTGATTCCTAATACTCGGACTTTAGTCAACCGTTTCGAAAGGTTAATAGTATTGCTTGGCTTGGGAAATATATAGTCTGTCTATTCTACCTCTTACTAGTTTAATCTAATAGTATCTCATCCAATTCAGTTATAACTATAACACCAAAGAGTTTCTTTCTCGTCCTTATCCAATGAAATCTGTCATTCGAGATGCCCCATTTGGGCAGCTTGTTCGTCTCTTGACAAACAATAAATACTTCCAATACCCGGAAGAAAAGCCTGACTTCAAGCTTCCCGACACATGGCTTCAATTGTTGAACTCTACGGATGAAAGCAACGAAAAGAAGGTCATCGAACAAGACTTCAACCGAAGCGATGAACACAGTGAGCCCCTAAGCCGGACCTCTACGCAAGCATCCATGGAATCCACCGAAGCTCGCCTCGAGGCCGACGAACAACATGAAATCGAGAAAGTCAAATCCATCCCCATTGTCCCCAAGAAAACAAAAGACGGTTCCATTCTCGTCGATTGGTACTATACCGATGATCCGGAGAACCCACACAACTGGTCCAATCGCAAGCGCGCTCTCATGACTATTTTGATCTGTCTATATACTTTTGTCGTGTATACCACTTCTGCGATCTACACCTCCTCAACACAGGGTGTCATGAAGGAGTTTGGTGTGAGCACCTTGGTTGCTACTTTGGGCTTGTCACTTTATGTTCTGGGGTATGGTATCGGGCCATTGGTCTTCTCTCCACTGAGTGAAATTCCCGTGATTGGACGCAATCCAGTCTACATCGTGACGATGTTCCTCTTCGTGATAATCTCCATCCCAACGGCATTTGTGGGCAACTTCGCTGGCCTGATGGTGCTGCGCTTTCTGCAAGGCTTCTTTGGCTCGCCCTGTCTTGCATCTGGAGGTGCTTCCATCGGAGACATGTATAGCCTAATGTCACTACCTTATGCTATGATGGCTTGGGTTTCTGCTGCCTATTGTGGACGTAAGTTTCCTTCCCGTTGCATCTATACCCCATACCTGTTATCTGTCCATCTACTAACGAGTCTATACAGCCGCTCTCGGCCCTCTCCTCAGCGGCTTCGCCGTCCCCGTCAAAGGCTGGCGCTGGTCCCTCTTCGAATCAATCTGGGCCTCCGCCCCAGTCTTCATCCTGATGTTCATGTTCCTCCCAGAAACCAGCAGCGCAACAATCCTACTCCGACGCGCTGACCGTCTACGCAAAATCCACAATACCAACCGCCTCATGTCGCAGTCCGAGATCGATCAGCGCAACATGCGTGTCTCAGCCGTTGCCATCGATGCTCTGATCAAGCCCATGGAAATCACCATCAAGGATCCCGCCGTCCTCTTCGTCCAGATCTACACAGCCATCATCTACGGCATCTACTACTCCTTCTTCGAGGTCTTCCCGCTAGTCTATCCAACCGACTACAACATGAACCTCGGGCAGATTGGTCTCGTTTTCCTGTGTATCATGGTTTCATGCATTATCGGTATTGCCGTCTACGCTAGCTACATCCATTTCTGGTTGAACCGTCGCATCCGTCGCTTCGGCTTCCCCGTGAATGAGGCTCTTCTTATCCCTGCACTACCTGCCTCCTTCGGTCCCTTGATTGGACTTTTCCTCTTTGCCTGGACGGCTCGTGCGTCCATTCATTGGATTGCGCCTACCATTGGTATTACGATCTATGGTGCCACGGTCTTCATCGTCATGCAGTGCATTTTCATCTATATTCCTCTCACCTATCCCAAGTACGCGGCTAGCTTGTTCGCTGCGAATGATTTCTTCCGCAGTGCGCTTGCGTGTGGCAGTGTGCTGTTTGCGCATCCGCTGTTTGGGAACTTGGGTGTTGCTCGAGGTGTCAGTCTTCTTGGTGGACTGAGTGTTATCGGTATTATTGGTATTTGGTTGCTTTACTTCTATGGTAGCAGGCTTCGTGCTATGAGCAAATTTGCTGTCTCGGAGGGGGTGGAATGAGTATATCCTTTGGTTGCCTTTTCACGATTTTTGATGATAAGTTGTTGCAGGATATTTGTTTATGGCGAAATGGGGAATATGTTGGACAAGACGAATAGATAAAGAGGGGAGCTATATTTAGCGGACGAACGTACAGATTATGAATAATATGAATGTTAATATATAATACTCTGAGAGCTCTTTGTCCCTTGAATAATTGTGGTTTTTTTGAGATGTGGCTTGAAGAGATGGGGACGCAAGTAGCCACATTTTTTAGGTCTCTTCTAGGCCCCATGTGAAAAGACGAGAGCTGGATCTGGATTAGAAGATTCCCAAGCTCAGGAACTACGTATCGTGTTCATCGTTGCGGGTTTCTATTTGTGTGCCCAATGGCTTGCAATGCCAGTTGAGCGCTGATCCTTCTAGACGGCACTTGAAACATTAGTGCTACTAGCACTTCACCTAGCTTGCACGTGGGAGGCTTACCTATATTGAGTGGTAATTTACATCGGAGAATAAACGAGACTATGTTTGAAATATGGGATAGGATTCCCAACACTCTGGTCAAGTTACTTATTGGGTGGCAACCTTGGACATAAGTCGACGGCTTAAGTTGGCGAAGCTAGTCAGGACCGTGACTGGTAGATTGCTGAAGTTTAACCGTGTTGCTCTACGGATTGGAATCAAGGGCGTGCCGATTGGTGGGTATATGACTAGACATAAAAAATGGATAACTTTGAATAGATTATTGTAGAAAGATCCTTTGAGACCATAATTGGGATTGCGAATCTTCAACTTCTTGTTCTTATCCACAGAGAGAAGTTATATCCTCCGGGACGTAGGGGCTCAGGATATCAATCAGCTTTGAGAGAGGGACCCAGTCAAGAACACCGTGGATGCTTCGTATGGGATGGCCACTGTACAAAACGCGGGCGTAGAAGGAGTTCCCATTGTTCGTATCTTTTGTCTCCCTGAAAACCCGTTAGATAATCCTAGCGTATCAGAAAACAGCTTGACTTACCAAACTTCAAAAGCAATGTTTGATGCCATAGCGGGCCAGCGAAGTGTCTCGATCCCCAAAGAACCTAGGATAGGGCCGATATCTCCATCATGAATAAATATGTGGCTGTAATCAAGGGAAGACTTCCCGTCCAGAACAGCTTGCAGACGAGAAATGATCTCGCCAATAAACAATCCCTCGACAACCTGGATGTACTTGACTACATCTGGGTTCGTGCGCCAGTAGTAATTCCACTCCCAATCACCAGCACGGAAGACCTCCTCGGCCATCTGCATCGTGACACAGGCCGAGGAATTTGACAAACTGCAGGGAAGATCATAGCCGTTGCAAAGACGACCCTGGAAGTTATCCGAAAAGTGGTCAAAGGTACTCTGCCACGAACTCTCTGTCGCGCCCAACATAGCGCCCAGCTTCGAGCGCAACTCCTCGGTGACAGCCAGATGCTCTTTCCACTGCGTGGTAGACTGCAGACTCGACAGAGTAGAGCTGACAGCAGGGCAAGAGTATCCCTCGTTGACAGTATTGACAGATGAAACCATCTGGTGCAGGGGTAGAGCTCCCTTGTGGTGAGGCCACACGCCACGCAGGACCGCGCCAGCCGAGGCCTGAGTGAGAGCGGACTCGCTGGAGCGGAACCAGACGCGGCTGTTTGGCTTCGCGGGAATCAAGCCAAGCTTCTTGCCGTAGACGGCCCACAGGTCCTTACCGTGTTGATATCCGTCCTGGACTCCTCCAATGGTGATCTGGGGGTACTGACAGGTGCCATTCACACCGGGTGTGAAGGGGTTGTTGGGGTCCTGGTATGTTTGTGCATACATTGGCATGGGCTGGATGCCGCTTGCGCTGTTGGGGCCTGCGTAGAGATACGGGCGCACATCATCGCAGTGATATGCTTGGTTCTAGGGGAAAGGAGTTAGTTTGGACTGAGAGTCGATCTGAGAGTTACTTACCTCTCCGCCTGGGAGAATGTTGTATGGAGTGCGCCGCTGGTGACGCTGTAGATACTCCAGGTACACAAGCTTTCCCTTAGTTGACCCGTTGGTTAGAGCTTCGGGCAGCTCGTATTCCTCTGAACGAGGATGCGGCATAGAACAGTAGTCATAGGTGCCGTAGGGGCTGCCCCCAGTCGGACCATGGGTTGGAGCTTTATAGATACCACCATACGTCCCAATCGAGCTGTTGCTGATGTATGACGTATCATTCAGCGTCGGGGGATAGAAGGTTCCCTCCGGGGTTTGACCCAGCACTGAGGCCGCGGCGGAAAGCAAGACGAGGCTGCGCATGACTGAGATAGGTTTGAGTGAGAGAAACCAGGTCCGTCGGAGACCTTCGAATATGTAGATTTCCGAACTAATTGCCAATAAGCCCAGGATGAGAAACAAAATGAAGCTCCACCGAAGTCGAACCAGTCGCGACCTGACAATCGGTGCACGTGGCGTCGTCAAGCCAACCTGGGGAGTGCCGGTAGCCATGTGGCTCTACATATTATAACCAACTTTGGGCTAAACGACTATCCTCAATATCGAATGTGGTTCAGTCGAAGCGATCGGCAATGCGTTTTCCCCGAACTTTCCATCAACTGCGTCCTAAGTCTTGGCATTATTGACACCCCCCTGCAGAATATTGAATATTGGCGTGGCTCCTTTCAGCAAGCACTATATATAACGCTACTCCGTACATATCCCAAAAGTTCCTTTGGTCTTGGAATTTGATTATCTGTTGACTGAACTCTCAGTATTTCCACAATGATGTGGAAGGCTTCAGTTGTTGTGGCCATGGCCCTTCCCCTGGCGTCTGCCGCCTTGGCGGATTTCGCACTTCAGACAGTACTTGACAATGCCACTCCAATATTTGGATCATACGAAAAAATCACAGGGGGAAAAGCGGAATGGATGAAGAGCTATCCCGATGAAACTTTGCTCGTTCATATGAATATCCCCGGCACTCATGACAGCGCCACGTGGAATTACACCCAGGCGACGCAAGATGCCCTGCGGGGCATCACAGATCTCAACCAGGTCGTTGTTCCGGAGCCAGAGGCATTGCGGTGCCAAGACTCACCTTTGATCGATATGCTCAACATGGGAATCCGGGCATTTGACCTGCGGTATGCTTTTGATCCGACAAACTCCACCCTCATCTTCTACCATTCAGAGGCCCTGCTCTCGCAGACAGCAACAGTCAATGATGTGCTATTTGGCTTTTATCAGTGGCTGGATGATCACCCCTCGGAGACCATTTTCCTTTCATTCCAGTACCAGAGCTCGACGGCTCTGTACGCCTCCAACAACGCGGCCGTGCAGCTGCAGCTCTACAATATTCTCACCACCGCCGCCGCGCGCCATTATTTCATGCAAACAAAAGACGAACTAGGCACCCTGGGTGACTCGCGTGGCAAGATAACTCTCATGCGCCGTTTTGACCTGGACAAGCTTCCGGATTCTTACACGGCCGCACTTCCCGGCCTGCACTTCTCGCCCAGTCTCTGGACCGATAACGGCCCAGCTATCACCCTCGAATACAACACGGCCAAGAGCTTGAGCGCCTACATAGAAGACTACTACCAGCCGCTCACGCCGACAGGGTCCAGTGCGCTCGAGAACATCAGGTGGAAATACAACGCCACATTGGAAAACATCCGCAAAGCTACTAGCCAGCACCCGGACAGTCTCTTCTGGACCTGGGCGTCTAGTAATAACATTGAAAACAACCCTCCCGATTGGCCTCGGATCATGGCACTTGGGAATGGCACTGACTATACACCGGCTGGGGGGATTAACCAGCAGCTAGTGCCTTTCCTGAAAAGCCAGAAAGGCAAGCGAGTGGGGATCGTGATGTTTGATTTCTTTGAGCAGCCCTCCGACCTGATCGATACGTTTTTAAATTTGGGAAATACAAAAACGAGAGACATGTTGGCCTGAGAATAGTCAACTACCAAGCTAACCTTGGAATCAATCAATCAATTGCACAGCGACGTGGACACACTTCCATCAGATTTCCTGCGAGTAGCATTACATTACCCACGCGACCCTTCCCATAGAACAATCAGATTGCAATGCCAATCAAATCAGACACAATGCCCTTGTCCTCAGCTGACGTCAAACTCTGCACCAGACCTGCCCAGCTCGGTATATTCATATTGCGGCCAGAGAGAAAACCCATCTTCCAAGTTTCCCACTTCGGTGTATCCAAAGAGCACATGAGGCTAGCACACCGGGCGAATTCATGTTTCTCAAGAATGTCCTCCTGGTCAAGGCAAATGCATCTCCATGCATCGTCCACCTTATACACATAATCCCAGATATCATAACATTGGCTGTATTTGATCTTCTGCAACTCAAGCCAGCCAGATCGCATAGAACTCCAATCAGAAGGTTTGCAGTGTGTTTCCAGCTTCTCCCACATCTTCTGTGGGTTTCGAATGTTGCGAACAATCAGCCTGGTAGTGGCAGATAAATTTGTTTTAATGATTTTCCCCGCCGCCTCGTTCAGGCTGGCTAATTGGGGTTCCAAGTAATGTGATCGAGGGAGTTGACCGACTTTGCCCTCAACCAAATTCAAAAGCTGATTGCGGCTCAGAATAGCTCTCATTTTGCGGCGCCAGATGCGATAATCGGATCGGCCGCGCAATGGTGGACAATTGCATTCTATTGGCAAATTATCATCTCCGAATGCACTTCTTAAATTGAAGGCACGTTCGATCGAGGCCTCTGTTTCGGAAGTTGTTCGGTGTATGAGGTCTCCGAGGCCTTCGTCCGCGACAGTTGTTTCAATGGGGATATTGGTAGTGGAGGTTACCCGGCGCCTTTTTGCCGGCGAGCTTAACGGTTCATCTTCCGGGGGTTCTCGCCCAGAGAGGGATCGTTTCACCAATGGTGTTGAAGAGGCCATGCTGTTGATTCTTGATGCGCAGACCTAGCTCGGTGGATAAGAAAGCTCAGCACAGGTCAGGGTAGGACAACGAGAATCGAATCATTAGAGAAGAAGCATTCAAATATTGAGGTATGACGTCGTTAATTGCTTGTGACAAACGACGATCTATCCAGGTCGATCAAGGGGGGTATCGTTTATATGTGCTTAACCCGATGCCAAGTGTGAAAACCGGGCACTCAAATATGCAGCCCTACATTCTTTGGAAACTCCAGAAAGTTGACATTTTAGATACACTTTCCCCCTTTCCACACTTTACCTTTCTCTCCCTTTATAGCCCAAGTTTCCTTCTAACCTTGGGAAACTGTTAATTTGAGATGTCGAGGCCAAGTTTGCCAAACTTCCCTCAAAACATTGATGTTGCTTGGATGAAACTTCTAAGTACCTATCTCATGCGCCATTTGTCAAAAATTTCTCATCACAAGTAAGGGCTCAAGTAGCTCCATTGTAACAGGGCACAAAAACAAGAGGACCAATTTTGTGGATGCACCAAAAGCTAGAAAAATTATGCGTGTTCTTCCCAATACTCACATACATTCCACAAAACTCCTTGGTACTCTAAGTCTCTCCCACTGAATACCCTCACTTTCGGCTTAAAAGGCCAGCATACCAGTAGTTGCAGCGCCCACAAATGCAAATGGAGGAGCGAAAATAGGAGTCGCCGCACTATCGACCCCTCTTGATATCGAGGTAGCTCTAGATGCACTCTGAGCAGACATTCCGGTGAAGCCAGTGGAAGACCTTGTAGGAAAAATAGTGGCGGACTCCGTTGTCATTGGCGTTTTGGAAGAGCAAGTCGTGGTTGTTGGCTCATCTGAGGCGTTGATATTGAAATTCGGGAACTCATTGTAGATGGCAGCATCGTTGATAGAGTAAATTTCGATGCACGGAGTAGTAATCCTCACTTTTAGAAGACTGCTGCTAACATTCCAACGGAATTTCCCGTGACTGCTCTTAATGTCGGCTATAATGCTATTAGTTTGGTAGTTGACACAACGCTAATGGAATGAGTGAATATTATATTGTACTTAATGCTGATTGCCGCCACATATCCTGTAATATCGGAACTTTTGCCCTTCTTCAGCAGAATATTAATCTGGCCCGAGTAGGCTTGGGTTAACACATTCCACTCGATGGTATAAGCGGCACCGGCATGAATGGTTTCACCCTTGGTAGGCAGGTGATCAAATAAAATTTGGAGTCGACAGAGAATTCTGTGCTAAATAAGCCGAGGGCGATAATGTAGTAATCGAAGCGCACATTGGACTATGTAGGACGGTGTTGTGTTTTTGAGTCAAATGAAGAGTTGGGGAATCAAGGGTACCTAAATACCCCGGAAGTGAAAACTGGGGCCCGGGCCCAGTGTTGGGGCCGAGAGGAGATGAAGCTTAAGACCATTTCTCTCTTAAAGCTGTTCGATATGGATTGGGGCCTCAACATTGCCCCCAATACCGGGGTATGGAACTTGGGCAACCAGGGCTACTACGTATAATCAGCGTGTTTTAATGTGCTCTAATGCACCTGAGCATGTTTCAGATACGAAGTGCTAGAAACCAACTTGAAGAGACTCCAGATATAGCAATGGAGGGATATAGAGTTGTTATTGCTGCTGATTGGCTATATATCGTACTCTGACACTGACAAGACCCACATGGCCACATCAACCAAGAGATCGCATCTTGTTCTATCCTGTACTGCAACATCATAGCCACGGTTTTGAATTCGTGGATTTCCTATGAGTACGGCCGATCGCGCGTGACCCCACGAGGTATCTCATGCAAGCTCCCCTTGCCTCGGAAGGGCGACTTTACCACAGACCTCATAAGTCTGTATCAAATCTCCGAATGGCTCGATCCAGACCGTGACAATAAGGCCTTTGTTTTCGAAGAGGCTCTGACCCGCGTTGAGGGCCTTACGCTCACCCATGATGCTTTGATCCTCTCCCAAAGTAATTTGACGCTCACGATTTATCGTCGGCTGCGGATTTTGCTGGTGAATATATCGAATGATGTTCTTGCTCGCGTTATGCGATTTGGGAACCACGGTCTTGATGCCGCGATACGACTAGCCGAAGATCGCTGTCCGTGGTGGCATGTTGCCAACTTACCGTTTCAGTTTATCTGTATCTTGCTGGCCATCGATACAAGGGAGTCGCTCTCACATATTGGTCCTGCGCTGTGCTCGTTCAGGGCTATCACCAGGCTTTACAATACACCTACTATCCACACGGCACTGGAGACAACAGAATCGCTGGTTTGTCTTCGCTCTTCACCCGGCTGATGCACAGCTGCCCCCGCCATTTCCATTTGTTCTTCAGAGAAACCATGGTGGCGCTCTTTACCATGTATCTCGTCGTCGTCTATATCGTTCTTTTTGGATTCTTGACAGGCTATGAGTTCATTTTTGGCGACACATATGGCTTCGATCAGGGGTCCGTTGGATTGACGTTCATTGGTATGAACGTAGGTTTCTTGATTGCATTTGCCCTGGTGCCACATATCTACTTCGCATACAAGAAGAGACTATCAAGAGCCATTGCAAACGGGGAAAAAAGCCTTCCACCCGAGGAGCGACTTTGGTTCGCTATGTACGGCGCTCCTTGGTTGCCAATCTCTCTCTTCTGGATGGGTTGGACCAGCTATCCCTCGGTTTCTTACTGGTCGCCCTTGATAGCCTCGGTGGCTTTTGGATTCTCTGTTCAGGGAATATTCATTTCAACATACCAATATCTCATCGACACGTATGAGCTCTTCGCGGCTAGTGCGCTGGTGAGCGCCACTTTCTTCCGCTATATCGCTGCTGGTGCTATGGTCATCGTGTCAATCCCAATGTATAGCAATTTGGGTGTTCATTGGTCCCTCACGTTGCTAGGATGTATCCCCGCCTTGATGACGCCGGTTCCATTTATTTTCTATAAATATGGGCATTTGATTCGACAGTGGAATAGGAAGAGGGGTGGAGAATAATGGCTTCGGTAGAATGATCCAATTTGTTTATAAAAATATCTCAATGTTGTTTCAGTGTGCCTTGAGCCACCTCGACGAAGCTACAAAATAACCAGTCGCCGACAAAACACTAATAGCCCCAACAAGCAAAGAAAAATTGCTTAACAAGATCTCCTCCTGAGCATGACTCACTTTTGTAGCAGCCTTGCTCACGAAACGGTCTTTACCAGTTCCCTCGGCAACATAGTCCTGCCACTGCACCTTCGAAAGTTCACGTTGATAATCCATCACAGTCCCAGACCAATTATTGGTGATGACCCCGTCATCTCTCTTATACCAACTGTTACAATTTGGATCTGCGAAGCTGGTTTTCCGTAGAATGGCCTGGATCCTATCGTTGTAGCTTGTTAACGCATCCGGCTCTGGCTTGAGAGCCAGCGTCTTTCCTTGTTGGCGGGCTTGCATCACTTCCTTGACTAGGATATTCAGATATCGTGATTGCGCTTCGATCATGAGGATGATGGAGTTGTGCCCTTTTAATTAGTTAGAATGATTGAAAGTATGATGTTATCTGGAAATAGGACATTCTCACCGAGATTAGTGTTGGGACCATAGAACATTCCAAAGTTGGGCAAGTCCTCGACTGTAACACCGTTAAACGCCGTTGCTCCATTTCTCCAGATATCCTCCAAGGACCGGCCATTTGCGCCATAGATCCGGATGGGATGCATGAACTCCACGGTTCTAAAGCCAGTCGCAAGAACGATAAGGTCATATTCTTGTTCGCCTGCTTCATCGACTTCGATACCGGAGTCTGTAATACCTGTGATGCCCCGTGTTTCCAAGTGGACGTTTTCACGGGCAAGAGTGGGATAATAATCATCTGTAATAATGACTCGCTTGCATCCCGGCGCATAATCGGGTGTCAGCGTATCCCATAGCTCTGGTCGGTTAGGCAGTTGGGTTTTCATTGCATCGGTACATGAGGCCCGAATCACATGGGAAAGTTCCGAATCTCCATCTACGACAGCTGCATGAAAGCCTTCACGGAATTCCATTTGGAGCGCACGCTTGCGCCAGTGGAGGGGTGGAACCCATTTGAACAGCGCCTTTTGAAGGGTAGATACTGGCTGATCTAGGCGAGGAATGATCCAGTTTGGCGTCCGCTGATAGATAGTGAGATGAGAAGCAACTCGAGCAACTTCAGGGGCAATCTGAGCAGCAGTTGCTCCTGTAGAATGAGTCAGTATTGTATCGCATAGGCGGGTAATTCTTTTCTTTTTCATTGAGTGCGCACCGTTGCCAATAATTGCGATCCGCTTTCCTGTCATATCATAACTCCAATCCCACCGAGCAGAGTGCATCATCTTGCCTTTGAAATCCTCCAGGCCTGGGATGTCAGGGGTTCGGGGTAGATTGAGTTGTCCGACAGCAGAGACAAGGAAATCGGAATTCAAAACGTAGGAGCTTGAGAACTCGCTGTCTTTCTGCCCTGATACCATGACACTTGTCCTCCACTTGGACTCGATGTCATCCCATCGGGCCTCCTTCACCGTGGAGTTGAATCGAATGTGCTTGTAGAGTCCATATTTCTCTGCAACACCAACGAGATACGCCTGGTCGATGCACAATAATTAGCAATGGCTCGTATATAGCAAGACAGGTCGAGGGCCACACATATTACTGACATGTATTTCTTCTTGTCCGGGATACTCCCTTGTCCAATTAGGGTTCTGTTCAAAGGAATAGCTATAGAGCGAACTCCAGACTAGACTTCATCAGTTGCTGTCACTGCATATATCAAATATTTCTTACCGTCACAACAGCAGCCAGGATACTTGTTGTCATTCCAAGTTCCACCCACGCTGCTACTTCTCTCAAGGATGACAAAATTGTGAGTCTTATTCCGTTTGATCAAATCGATCGCCATGCACATTCCTTCATAAAAGGTTAGTGAAATTTATTTGCCTTGGAGGACTCAACATACCCGATATGCCGGCGCCAATAATGACAACAGTGGCATTGGTAAAGTCTTTGTTCCCAACAGGGAGACGGGTGTTACTCGATGCCGACATTCTGGATGAGGTTGACTATGCACTATTCGAGAGACAAGTAAATTATGGGCGACAGCCCAGAATATAACCAGAAAATTCCCCGCAAGCTTCCCAAAAATAGTACTAATCATTCAATCGCCGGGATTACCGAGGTCAATCCTCCCTAGCCTAATCATTCTTGACCTATGTATGTCTTATGCAACTCGTATCACAAACCATGCATGAACTGCAAGCTATCACCAGAGATTACTCTGCCCTGAATTTTTTTTTTGGCAATTAAAAAGACTACTTGGCAAATTTGGAAGACATATAAAGCTTGATCTGCTCACTAAAAGCTGGAATCAATAATTTAAGATCATACAAGTTTGGAAGTTTGAAGTTTTTGGTTGCGGGGAAGCTGGACACACCGAGGCATTGCATTCCAACCTGAAAGGTTCCCGCGTTAGTCTGAGCTTTGTAAGCTACCTAATCCTCTCCAGGGAGATATCCTAGAATAATCAAGGAAGTTCAATTCCTTCCCTCTCTGCTGTCTGTAAGATGTATTGCCTGACCTGAATGAACGCAATATAAGAATTAGCCATTCTGATCTAAAATGGACACTTAATCCCGTTGAGGGGCTTACCTTGTCATCTGGGACTAGCTCAATCGCTAGTCTACCTTCACTATCTCTCTTTTCCGCTTCTGCTCCAGATTTCAACAATAAGATCGCGGCAGGTCCATGTCCCTCAGAGATAGCGTGGTGAAGTGCTGTAAATCCGTCCCCATCCGTTGCGTTGACAGGACTTTTACCCTCTTCCAAGAGGGCCTTCAAGATAGGCACAGATCCCACTGCGGCTGCTCTGTGGAGGGGCAGTTGGCCACGTTTATCCTTGACTCTCGCGCTACATTTATTGGCGAGCAAGGTGCGGACAGTAGAAATATTGGCCTTGGAACTTGCGAAGTGCAGCGCATTCTACTAGATAGTAAGTCCATGTACATGCAATATCCAAGTCGTTGTCTCGGAAAGCTAACCTGTCCAGAGTTGCTTTTGTTAGACACGTCAGCTCCTTTTCGCAGTAATAGGTCGATCGTCGCGTCGCCTGCGGCATCTTTTAGGCTAGCTGCAATCATGAGAGGCGTCCAACCGGATCCATCCTATGCTGATTTAGCAATGTTATATAATAATGGCAATTCGATGCTGAAAAGGCGCGGGGAATTATCTTCGAAAGTAGAACAGTGATACTCACTTCTACATCTGGGTCGAAATTCTTCATAGAGACTAGCAATTCCACGACCGGCACCCGGTTGTAGGCCGCAGCCCAGTGAATTGGAAGACGCTCATCATCATCTTTCACGAATGCAGATTTTGGGTTTGCCTGTTTGAATAATTAGCTTTGTTTCTTGGAGACCGAACAGTACCAGTGCCAGCGTGATCTTGCGGGGCAGCCTCGGCCCCAGGTGGAGCATAACTCACATTGAGCAACGACTCAACAACCTCGTCTAAGGAGATATATCAGTATATTGTACTATACAAAGAAGGGCCAAGCTCTCACTTCTTCCTTCTCGGGCAGCCTCGTGCAGGGCGTACTTCTGATCAGAATCCATGGCGACTTTGGAGGAGGAAGAGTGATATTGCGATAAGAGCTACGATAAGCGGCCGGCTGCGGCTGAGTCAGCAATATTGAGGCACAGTTCACCGCCCTGCAACCTCACCGCCCTTTTTTGGGCCGGGTATAATGTTGGTGAAGGATGGCGCCTCAGGCACGAACACCCGTTGCAACTTCGATCCAAAGATTCACGCACATCTTTGTACCATCTTCAACCATATCTTGCCTCGCAGCTGCTAGAAACGTAGCATTGGTATTAAATCCACTGCGCTTCTAAAGCTGGTGCCTAAACTGAAACTCCGGACTCGATTGCAGCCACGGACCAGCCGCAGGCTTTTTTTCATCGCCCGCACCATCGGATCGTGATTCTTTGGAGCTCCTATCCTTCAAAAACACACCAGTTTCTCTCGCTCCCCCACATCACTTCCTTCCGCATACACAATGGACTACAGCTCACCCCATTCCGCCGATGACGCCGTGCGCATGTCCGCAAAGCGGACCGCCGAACTCTTCGGCGCCGAATACCTAATGGTCACACCTTCAACTCTTACAGACGGCTCAATCGGCGTTTCCTACCGACGGAAGGCAGAGTACGAAGATATTACCGAGCTACCACGATCTCTCGCAGAGAAACAGGCGAAGGCTACAGCCGGCCGGACAAAACGGCCGAAGATTCAGGCGCAGACACCTGCAGACGGCAGTGGCGCATCCATGTCACTCGTGAGGCGGCCATCGGGCACGGGAGCGGGAGCAGCAGCAGCTGAGGACCAGCCTAAGAGTTTGGTACAGAGACCGTCGGCTACCAAGCAACAGCGGCCCGAGTGGCACGCGCCTTGGAAGCTGATGCGCGTTATTTCGGGACACCTGGGATGGGTGCGAGCTTTGGCAGTGGAACCGAACAACCAGTGGTTTGCTAGTGGAGCAGGAGATCGGACAATCAAGATTTGGAATCTGGCGACGGGCGCATTGCGACTCACTCTCACCGGCCACATCTCCACCGTTCGTGGCTTAGCAGTGTCACCCCGGCATCCGTACCTTTTCTCGTGTGGTGAGGATAAGATGGTCAAGTGTTGGGATCTAGAGACCAACAAGGTCATTCGACACTACCACGGTCATCTCAGCGGTGTGTACACACTGGCCCTTCACCCTCGTCTCGATCTGTTAGTCACGGGTGGTCGTGACGGTGTGTGCCGAGTCTGGGATATGCGCACGCGAAGCAACGTACACGTTCTCGGCGGACACAAGGGCACTGTCGCCGACATCAAGTGCCAAGACGCCGACCCTCAGATTATCTCCGGCTCGCTGGACTCCACAGTCCGGTTGTGGGATTTGGCCGCTGGAAAGAGCATGGGCGTTCTGACACACCACAAGAAGGGTGTTCGCAACCTCGCCATCCACCCCTCTGAGTTTACATTTGCCAGTGCCAGTACCGGCAGCATCAAGCAGTGGATGTGCCCCAAGGGCGATTTCATGCAGAACTTCGACGGTCAGAACTCTGTCATCAACTCTCTCGCTGTCAACGACGAGAACGTTCTCTTCTCCGGCGGTGACGACGGTTCCATGTCCTTCTGGGACTGGAAGACAGGTCACCGCTTCCAATCTATGGAAACTACCGCACAACCCGGCTCTCTTGAAGCCGAAGCCGGCATCATGGCTTCTACCTTTGATCGTACTGGGTTGCGCCTTATTACGGGCGAAGCTGATAAGACCATCAAGATCTGGAAGCAGGACGAAGAGGCTACCCCCGAGACTCACCCTCTGACTTGGGCCCCGACTCTCGGTAGACAGCGGTACTAGAGGGATGACCAGCATCACTGGCATTCGTACCCTCTGTTCCGATTTCTCAATACCCTGTATTCATTTTATTTCTTGCCATCAAGTTCTTCTTGGCACTATGTGGAGTTAAGCGTGGTCTGTGGAAGGCCCTTGGTTTTAAAATATTCAAACATGTATCGGGAAAAATTTCCTCAGAAAGGTTCATTTTGTCTCTGAAAAAGAGTCTTAACGTTTTGTATGATACAAACCCCAATTGAGCCAAATGATACCCTTGGCAATCCACCCATATGGACAACACGTACAAGTAGCCTCTACGATCTAGAGCGCAAGACACAGCTGGACTGAAAGGGTATCATATGCAAACTATTGTGCGATATTACACTAACTCCAAATAATGCGTATCGTATCAAAACACCCAAAAGAAAAACCCTCACCATCACTGCTCAATACCCAAACCAAAGCCTTTAGCCTCAACATCCTCCCTGAAAGCGGACCTGACATCTTCTGCCGCAACCCTAAGCCGAACTTTACTACTGCGGTCGCCGCGAGTGGGAATCGTAGTACCCCCAAGCACGCTTTTAGAGCCAGAGCCCTGCTCCAGCGCCAGGATACCCGAGTTCATGAGCGACATGGCCGCATGGCCAAGGCTCCGCACGCGAGCACTGGGGCCTCCGCCCAGCAGGAAATCTTTCACGCCGGCGCCAGCAGCTCCAGCAACGGCGACGGCTGCATCGGCGATGCGGCGGGCTTCGTCCAGAACGTCGCCGAATGTAGATTCTGAAATGCCTGTCCGGTGGACGCGGGCTAGTAGGGCGGCGAGGAAGAGCTTTCCTGATAGTGGGAGACAGCGCAAGGATTGCTGGAGTGGAGTTGATGTAGCTTCGTGAATGGCTTGCTTGATAGTGGCGATAGTGACGCGCCCGGGTTGGCCCTTTGCAGGGGGTTTAGCGACGGCTGATTCCCCGGCTGCTTTGGCTGCGATAGCCTTGTTGCGCCGGGCGGGAGTTTTGCTGGGTGTGGGAGGCAATGATTCGGTTTCATCTTTGGCGTCATCTGCGGCAGCAGCCTCGTCGGCTGCTTGCTCGGCGATTTCAACTGCTCGACGGCAGATGTCCAAAGCTCGTCGAGCATCACCGCTGACCGCGGCTACTTTGCGACTTGCGAATTGGACGGCGTCTGGGTCAACGATATTACCCGGTACACTGGCCAGACGGGTACTGATGATTTCCATTAGATCTGTGTGACGGTATCCCGGGAATGTGATACGGGTTAAACCGAGACGACTGGAGATCTTGTTGCTTAGGGTTCTTTCGGGGAGATCCATGGTGTTTGCGACAGCCAGGACAATGAGGCGCGAGTGGCGGAGAGCAGGCCAGTTGAAGAAGTTATACATGACAGACTGATTCTTTGTGACAAGCTGATCCAACTCATCCATGAGCACAACGCAAGAGACCCGACGAGGGGAGGGATTTGAGAATTCTCTTTCGAGAAGATCTAATGCGTGCGATGGTGATACTCGGTCGCCCTTCAAGGCTTCCCACAGTAAGGAGTAGGATTGATGGGGGTCGGTGACTTTCATGCCGTTAATCTCGACAAAGATGAAATCGTCCATCTCTTCTTCATGCACGGCACCGTTTAGCTGTGCAACCACCTCACGCACCGTGGCAGTCTTGCCAGTGCCGGGGGTACCAGAGATATAGATACAAGCACCTGTACCTTCCATGATCGCAGCGCTAAGATGGTTGTATACAGTGTTGAACTCGGTCTTCCGACACGGTAATGAGTCTGGAACAGTGGAGACATGTAGCAAATTCCGAGCTTGACGGTAGGGAGAGTCGAAATGTGTGGGTGACAGGACACGGGTACCCAGAGGAGTAAACTCAAGTGGTTTTTTTACAACGATCCTGATACATGTTAGTCTTATTTCATGAGGAACATTCATTTTCGCCGTTTCCTACCGTTTATGGGTCGGAGTCATCATGGCCTTCTTGCGCTGTGATTGTGGCGTGGCATTCGTTGCTGCTAGTCGCTGCCTCTTTCTCGGGGTCGTAGGTACCGTGGTCTCTTTGGTTTCGACATACTGCGATGGCCCAAATCAGCAACTGCTTTTGTTATCGAAAGCATGTGGTTTTACTCACTTCATCGTCCGCAGCCTTCCGTTTTCTGGAAGCCTTCAAGCCATCCCTGACCCAATTGATCAGATGTTGGATGTCGTCTTCATTGTACACCTGCTCCCAGATAAATTCATCGGTATACCGTCCTTGAACCTGGTTCACGCCTCGTCGACAAACAATGCACTTGTTGTATTCCGCCAATTCGGTCTTATTCTTTGGAGGGCCATTGGGGTATTTGGCACTGAAGGCGCTCTGAGACATGACCGCCCCTTTGCCGCTGATTGATGTCAAGGGGTTGCTGTTGAAATCGAGTGTGATGTACTGTTCGTTGGGCAAGGCGTCGGTCCGGCGTTTGTTTCTTGTGCCCATGAATTCGTCGGGGGATGCGAACCACATAATATTGGCAGATTTGATGATCTCGTCTTCTTCGTCTTCATCCTCCTCTTCCAGAAATTCTGTAATGATGCCAACCCAGTCCTTTCCAGCTTCAGGGGATTTCAAGAGAATCACATCGCCCACTTTGCATTGGAATTGACCCATTTGCGCGCCGACGATTTTGCGTTTTTGGTGGGCGGGACGGGAGGATCGTCTTCGTCTACGTTTCGCCGGGGTATCATCTTTGGTTTCGGTTTCTTGGGTAATCTCTTCATTTGCGTCGTAAATCCATTCCCATGGAAGGTCCTCGACCCCTAGTTCATCATCAGAATCGTCTCGAACCAGAGCTCCCTTGGTCATCCATTGGGCGCGCTCGCGGGCACTGCGCCTCTGAGGCGTAGAGTCTGAATCGCTATCGCTCATTGGGGGTGCGAGAGATGTGACTGAACCGAAGATGCAACGGAGAAGGAGAAATCGCGCTTGACGCGTTGTCCACTTTCGTCCCTTTTAGGTTTAGTCCGGCAAGAAGGTCTGGCCAATCAAATCCATCTATCTCATAGTAAGACATGGAGTACACCTGGACATTGTAGGTACAAACTACATATAATATGGATGTTTTCAACTGATACCGTACACGTGAATTAGACTCATAAATCCACTTCAGCTCTTGCTTCAAAGACATCACTCATCTTTGCAGCATCATTATCAAACTATTAGCACCTTTCCGTCTCAGAATGGCCACGATGCAAGGTATAAATTGGATCTGCTCGTCTATTCACACTACTAGGATCATCTGATATGCTAACCGTCTAGCCTAACACTGTAGGTAGACTGTGTTTCGCTCGCTGTGCGTTCCTAAATGTCGCATTTTTGTTGTTTACCTACTAACGCCTTAGACAATCCCAAACCATTTTGATGAGTCAGCCTTGATATATTAGGTAACTATATGTAACATGGCACAGTTTCCATGGTTGATTTGAAATGCTGTAATAAATCATTGAAATAGCGAAGTTGATCACACTTGCCAGACACTTCAAAATTGCCGAGGATATACGATCGTCCATTGATATCGGAATAACAAAACTCCGAAACCCTAAAAAGTCACGAAATCCAATGTCAGATCTATATACTCCCGAGCTCCTTAGTGGATTTATTTTAATTCGGATGGGTTATATTGCACTACATATGTAATAGGAACATGGAATGTAGTGTCTCTCTTTCACCCTCCACAGCAAAACTTTTACTACAAGAACCAGGTCCGTGTATATTGCAAGAAGATTGATTTCTGTGTGTCTTGATACTTCAATATCCTCTCATTTACTGAGGAAGTCAACTACTAAGACTAGTTGGATATTCTCTAGGGTCCGCGCAGTATATACACCTGGAGAGTCTACATCTACCTAGGCCTGGGCCCCGGGGGTACTACTTACACATGTAATCAATAACTGCGACCCGCGGTTCCAACTAAGCAAGAATGGATGAATGCTCTTACTCTTTCATAATTCTCAGATAAGAAGATACATTTCAGCCTTATGTCCTCCCTGGATTCACTCTCTTTCCCCTTGCTCAACTTGGACTCATCGCCTTCTCCCTTTATCTTTCTTTTACTTTCCACCTGGGCAACGCTCCATATGTTGCGCACTCAGTCGCCCGCGGCAATCGATTTCTGCTCAGTTCCATCGTATCTTCATTGACATAGAGCGGTTTCCGTACATCTTCTATTTCTTTCAGTTTCCCGTTTGATATCTTTGAGATAGCCGTGTCACTCTCTTCATATTGGCTTATTCCAAACAATCCCTCCCGTGAGACATCGCTCTGGCCATCGAACACCTGTGGCTATCTGACTCCAGTAAGATGGCGTCTGTACCTCAGTCCTATGAAAAGGAGTAAGTTTATCTCGCGCACAGATACTTCGAAGTACGTTCCGCTAATCAATTCTGCCAGCTGGGAGCGTGTCAATGCCAAATGTAAGAGACGATTGGGGTTTCAATTATGCTTTTACGTACTGACTTAGCTAGCATGGGAACTGCCTAACTACGGCCCCGGTCCAGATTTTGGTCGGGGGACAATCTACCACCAGGACTACGATGAGTACACGGAAAATAAAGGTCCGGATTATGATGATGAGAATGATTGCGAGGACATGAAATATGACCGCCCTGCCGTTGACTATCCGCCGCACCCTACAAGTTCAACGGAACCCGTAACTGGCCGGTCTATCTCAAGTGTACCTCCTGTACCCACGCCATCGTCGATTCCAAGTCAAAGCACCTTTCCAACACCGGCACTTATTACTGGATCCAGACCAGGTCGAGCTCAGGCACCAGAGGGGCCAATCTTCAATGAGCGCGGGCCTAATACCAGCAGTACCAATGCATTCGCACGACAGCCGAATTACCCTGCGCGTAATATCAAATCAGGTCAACATACCCCTCTTAAGAGGGGACATACTGACTCACCGCAACCAGTGTTTCAGTCAAAAAAAGGCAGTGGTACTTCAACTACTTCACAATACAGAGCTAAGTATCCACCTAGCGCACAAGGGCAAAATGACTCTCATTCCAAGGCAAAGTGGCGCAAGGGCTTTCCTCCAGATGGTAAGTATGCACCCATCAACCTCCAGTCCACCATTAACGGTAAAATAGCATCTTATCGTTTGCCTTATGAGTGTCAAGTGTTCCAAGCAAAGTGAGTATATAAAGCTTTGCCGTCGTTGGTATTAGAACTAACCCAGACACTGAAGAGTTAGACAAGTAGCCACAGGAGAAACTTTCAACATCGACTTTCGCCAGAGAATTATCGAGGACACTGGTGCCTATGTGAGGATGAGCGTGGGAAACGCCAAAGTCAGTACCAGCTAAAATTCTCCAATATCTGAGATGCTCAATATACTAATAAGTCTGAAGCTCGTTCACATCTGGGGCCGACAAAACCAGGTTTTGGCGGCTCAGAATATGCTTCAGGATATGTTGAGTCGGTTAATGCAGCACCGGACTTCGCCTAAAGTATCGCGTTGGACGAAGATACACGCGCATTCAAATACGAAGGTCGCCCACGCTCGGTCGCAGGAAAGCCACGAGGAAAGATTGTCCGAGATGCGAAAGCCACCGAGAATTGCCACGGATTATACGGTATGGATAACGCCCTGCTAGCCCCAGTTTGTTTTCGTACTTTATGGAGACTAACCGACCCTTGATACTATAGCTTGCTTTCCTCTGGCCCTCGGATGGCCCCTCAATGAACTACTTTATTACTGCCCGGCGTGAGATCCTCGATATTATTCGCCTGAAATATGACGTGAACATCTACATCAAGCCTGGCATCCCGGACTACCTTTTCATGTCGGGAAATAATGAGCGAGATATGTGCATCATTACATCTCGATTCCGAGAGCTGTGGGAGAGGCTAATGGTGCAGCATGAGACGGAAATCAAGCTGTTCCTTGTTGCAGCGCCCCCGGTAGAAATTATCAGAACCCACGTCATCCTGCAAAAGTCTGGTCATCTTTCAAGACCTGTTATCTGTGGACCGGAACTGGCCCCAGACGTAGCCGCGACATGGCAGACCACTGCGGATGAGATCAAGGCCAATAACAAGAGCATTGTCACCACCCGCCTTAGGAGAGCACTGCATGTGATTCCTCAGTTCCGGGGATTCCTGCAAATGCGAGCAAAGTTCGGTTCGTTCGCGCTGCAACAGTGGCGCAAGCCGAAAGATGGCACTTCTTACGAGTTCGCCGAGTTTCGCGAGATGCTCACACATATGAACACCGAAGGGCGTTTGCTCCCGGGGTATGTTATCACACCCGCCGTAATCTGATGGTTTGCTGACTGACTTTTCTTTTAGAATCCGGTTGCAGCAAGATGAAATCTTCGACCGAGTCATGGCATCAAAATTTCTTAAGCCCTGGGGTAAAGCCAAACTCCAATCCCTCTTGAACCTGATGCCTAGGTATTCTGCCAACTTTGAGTATCAAGTGAACAATGATTCGGTGATTTGCGTGGAAGCGAAATTCTCTCTCCCTCTTGGCTCGCAGGAGTTTGAAGTCAACGGAATCCGTTGTTTCAAATCAAAACAGATCGGTGCTCCTGTTGATCGTCAGATGCCAATGCAGATCAGCATGATTGACTTTGAAAGGTTTGTTTAACCCCAGATCACTTTTGGAATTTTACTGGAAGCTGAGTTTTGAATATAGGTCCGACTGGCAACTTGAAGTGAAGGCTCTTGAACTCTGCCCCGAAAAGGATATCTCCCCCGAGCTAGAAAAATTCACGCGTTCTATTGGTTTCCAATGGAACCCAAATGCAAAGAACATTGGATGTCCCCCCCAGCGCAAGGCGAGGTTCTCATATGGTTCGCCAGTCAAGCGCTTCGTCGAAAAGGCCACAATTCAGCTGCAAGTCAAAGATTCGCCGCATGTATTCGAGCTCGCCCGCTTCGACGAGTACACATACGCGGCTGGTCACTGGTCGATGACCCCGAAAGTGTCATGGGGTGCATCACTGTTCAATCCTAGTTGGGATGATATACTAGGTGAACAGGCTGATGTCAAGGTTCTCGATATTTCTAAAGACGGGTGTCTGTCGGTGTTCTTTCCCCCGCCGGGGGATGATCAGGAACAGACGGATAAGCAGAAAACGGATGATGAGCTCCGCAAGGAGGCTGAGATCCGAAAGGTGGACGAGGAGAATCAGCTGGGCCTTTTCATGAGCACTGTCCAGAAGATTGCGCGGATGTTGGGGAATCCGGGCGCTGAGATGTCCGATCTCCTTGACACTGATCTTGGAAGTTTGTTCTAGTCGATATCAGCAAATCGTCCCGAAACCGTCACATCTCATGGGACCACAAGGGCCAACTCGAAGAAAAAAAACAAATATCACTACCGTCCGGCCTGCTTATCAAGCCGAGATCATTAGGTATGTAGCAATAATAGTTCCAATTCATATTTCAAGTTATTCCTGGTTTCCAATATCGGAGAACACCTTCGGCCCTGGATTCGTGGTCCTTTCTTCTTCTTCTCGTTCTTCCCTTATAATTCATCTCCAGTTTGCTTGTTTCAAATGGTGAGATAGAATCCGTGTATATGATTTCGATTTCTCTATGGTAAGTCATGATGACCTATTCGTACCGCGTGGGTCGAGTTTAGCCCGCTGCAGCCTGAGGAGCACCCTCTGAGAGCATCTTCTGCCTCAATGCTGTAGGAGAGAGGTTAGCAAGCGAAAAAAAGGGCTAGCTTCACAAGGCAATAGGAATCCGGCCTCCTATTATGCCGGAAGAGGTTCAACTCACTCTCTTCCACAATGCGCAGTTGCGAGCTCTTGGTCTGTACGATCTTCTCCAACTCCTGCAAGTTTGTCTCCAAGCCCTTGACCTTATCATCATAGAACGCAATCGCCTTGGGCGCAGTCTAGAAATAAAGCATACCGTCAGCTCGATCAACCCAATCACCGATATTCCTAGTGATATCCCTGTCGTCACATACCTTCTCAACATAAAATCCAGTTCCGACATCAACAAGCACCTTCTCGCGATCCGTCAAGCGGCCCTTGACGTACAGCGAGCTGGTGAGGGGCACGAGAATCTCATCGCGGCCATCGGTTCCCTTCTTCTCGTTCCCAGTCACGCCATCATTGATAGAGCGCACACAGTCACGGAACTTGGCCTGGGCGGCGCGCAGCTTCGTGTGCGAGGTGGTCAGGTGTTCCAGTTCGGAGGTGAGGCGGGTTTGGAGTGCGCGGAGCTGAGGGACGGAGAGAGAGGCGAGGTTGACTGGTTTCCGGGTGATTAGCTGGGATTTATCTCCATATGACACGGAGAGCCGGAAGCCCGCGCCGCAGTGTCACCTTGGTGTTTTGGGGGGGATCGGAGACGCACCTGAGCCTTGGGGAGCTCCGTCTGAGGATGGGGCGTTTTGCGACATTTTGGGATTCTGGGGGGAGGCTAGGTATTTTGGGGATCAATTTCCGGATCGGGACTTTTGTGTTATTGTAGATCAGGTCCTCGCATTGGGACTGTATAGGTGTTTAGGTGGTGGGGGAGCTTCAAAAAACTCCTGGGTCTTATGCGTGGTGATAGTGGGGTTAAGTGTTGGCGGGCAGAATAGTGGACGGTTGTGTTTATACACACGCACCTGACTACCTCACTTAATATGTACACCTGGACAGACCATGTCTCTTGACAATAACTAAAGACTTAAAGATTATAACGCCATACTGTATTCACAGCCTCTATATTTGTTAAAAGGTGTATTTATTAGCCATGACTAGTTAGTAAGTAGTACATGTACTGGTAGGTCAAATGTTATCTGCGGGGAAAATTAGATCACTCCGAAGATTCCCAGTTCTCCGCTCCGCTCCGTAATCCTTCTTTACCACATACCAATGGCTTCGAGACTGGCAGCATGTGAAGCTTGCAGAAAAGCAAAGGTCGCCTGTGATCATAAGCGACCAGCATGTACTCGATGTGCAAGTAACGATAGAGCTGCAATTTGCATTTACCGAACGACCCCGTTCAAGAGAAGAAGAGTGGAGAGCTCTACACCTCTGCAGTCTCCTACGTATGTGATATGTGATGCATAATTATATTCGCTTTAGTTTCACATGCTTATCGACTCTGCAGTCGGCTACCTCCGGCCCAGCCATCGTTCGCTCCAAGGAATAGTCCCTATCCTAACCCCGGCTTTCTGGGATCCTCCAGCCATGTCGCTATTTTCAACGAAATTTCCCCGCAAGACTATCATGCATCTGATACCTACAATCCTTCCGAGGACATGACTATGCTGATGCAGTCGCAGTCTACTGGCGAGAATATCTTGTTAATCCAAGGTGCGGATGTCCTCAGACAGCTGTTAAACACATTTCCTCTAGCCGCCATGAAGGATTTTGTTACTTTTTGGCTTGCAACGGGGGCAAATCTAGCTCTGGCAGAGCCTTTTACTGAGAAATGTACCGAAAACATGACGCGCCTATTCACTTCCTTCTCACAGGAAGAAAACTGGCATTTGGCATATGCCCAACGTCTAACACAAAATTCCCGGGAACCTTTGCAGTTTAGCAGCACATCCGATATGGAGACTTTCTCTGCCCAGTTCCTCGACCAGAAATTCCGATGGGAAAGTCTAGGTATCTTCCTCTCTGCTGTTAGTCGAGCAGCGATTGATATATCATTTTTCCCGCCATTGTTCAAAACCGAAAAGGATCAGTTCGTGCTTCGGAAGCTATCTACAAAACTTAGTGATCTTGCGTTGGATATTGCGCTCTCGCTGGACTGCTTAAACGACCTGCAGCTGGTCCTACAGTATGAGAACTTTATTGTACACACCCATGTTGATGGGGACCAAAGTAAGAATTCTTCCTTGATTCTGTCTGTAAAAACCCGCAGCTCATTGAGAATCTAGGCTATCATTCATGGAGTAGACTTGGGGATGTTGTGTCGTCCATGTTTGCACTTGGCTACCATGAGAATGTCGAAAAGACAAAGCCATCAATTCCGAATTTTCTTGTGGAATTACGAAAGACAGCTTGGGCCACGACATACTCAGCCGATAAAAATGTGGCTATATTCCTTGGTCGACCACCTCGGATGAGCAAGCGGTTCTGTCACTTTCAAGTACCTTTGACTCCGACAAGCTCGGATGAGGTTTCGAACACTTCACACGTTGAGGACGACGTTGTCAGATGGAAAACAGATACACCGATTTGTTATAGGTCAAGTATTCGGTGGGCGACACTCTGCTCCGCACTGAAGGAAGATATTCTCGAATTGCTTCGATGTAAGCAGCACGAGAATTTCAATCAGAAAGCTAGGTAAGCTGGAGCCCTATAATGTGGGATCCCTTCGCTGATCTGTTTGATATAGCCTCATCGGGCAAAAAGCTGAAACTCAATGGGCACACCTACCCCCTCGCTTCCGACTTTCGGGTACATTGAAAGAATGTTCTGGGGATGCATTCGAACGCGACTTTCTAGCTAGCATACGCCTCGACCAACTACATGTTCTCTTTCTACTTCAATTGGCGTTTCTCGATACGCTGACTGAGCCTGATCCATCTATACTCGATATCTCGGATCAAATGCTCTCTCTTGTAGTAGACACAATTCTTCTACGAGATCAACTGGTCAACTCTGGAACGGGACTCGTTTGGAAGGTATTTATATCTATTTTCAGGATTCGAACCTTTAATTACTGGACTAAAACCCCTTAGATCGCCCACTTCGGCCTCCCGGCTGCAGGGATTATACTCCTTTCAATGCTGAAACAACACCGCACACTAACCGAAGGAAGATCTTCATGGTCCAAAACAATACTGAATCTCGGTATCTTTGTTGCGCAGGTCCAGGTAGGGAGCATCGTTCGGCGTGGAGATCCGAACTACGCCTTAATATCCAAAGCGACACAGACGATTGAGCGATTCCTTGATTCTATACACCGTGAAGCGATACAATCCCCGACACAACCGCCTTCACATCCAGGAGAGAATGGTGACTGGGCTGCATTTTTCAGCCAGGATCTGTGTGATTTCGAGACTGACTTTTGGGAGAACCTTGCATATCATCCTTCTTTGTTGGCTTCGGACCCTAGTTTGCCTCAAATGTAGTTGATGAACACAGTAATACACAATAAGAATATATTATATAGGTATTGACTGTCAAATCTTTACTGGTATTCACCATCGGATATGAAATTGTTTCAAGCACCCGTGGATACATCCACATAAAGAACAACCTCATCTGCATCTATTAATATTCACTAATGTGTAGCAAGTCAGTTAAAATAATCATATCCGCTGTATCAAATAATCGAAGCTCGGAAATAAAAACAGCAGTCTAATATACAACCAAGTAACATATCAAAAACAAATCCAATGACGCCGAAGTCTGGCATTGTCTATATATTATAATCGCATTTGGTCTTTCCCCTTCTTCTGTTTTGGTTTGAATTTCATATCCATACACCATGGGCTGTGCTGGATAGTTATATATTAGATCACTCACCTATCACCGAACCCTCTTAGAGCTCTTCATCTTGTTCCTGTGGAGTAGGTTCACGACCCATTCGACCGAGATAATCTCGCATCGTAGACCACACACTGTTATCTGGCTCGTCAGACTTATTCTTAACCTTATAAGGCTTAGCCTTTCTATCCATCAGGGTATCACCATCAGCATCCAGACTTTGTTCCTCATTTGAAGACGAGTCACTTAGAGTAGTGAACTTCGTCCATTCAGTATTCTCCTTTGGTGACCGAGAGGCGTTCGATCTCTTCTTTGGTGGCGTGGGAGGGTGCGTGTCCTCGTCGTCATCCCTAGCTCGCTTGCGATTAGCACGTTCAATAGTGCGTGTGAAAGCGTCGAGGTCAATGCGAGGCGGAGATGGAGCTTCCATATCATCAGCCTTATAGTAGCCCTCTTGTGGTTCGTCTGGGATAGGAGCGTGAAGAGCTTCTGGTGCAACAACGGGAGGAAGATCTGGATTGGGACCAATGCTAGGCTGGATTAGAGGACCAGGAGAGGGAATGGGGCCAAGGGAAAGGGAAGGGGTACTGAGAGGAGCGCTAGTGTTAGTAAGAGCCGCACCGGAATTCTTAGCAATTGCCTCTGTAGCAGCCTTAGCAGCAGGATTAACAGGAAGTGCCGGACCAGGGGCAGGAGCAGGAATTGAAGCAGGAGCAGGACCAGGGGCAGGGTCACGAGCAGGAGCACGACGAGCACAATCAGGGGTATTAGCAGGAACACGAGCAGAGACATGAGTAGAGACATGAGCAGGAACAGGAGCAGGGACAGGAAGGGCAGGGGCAGGAGCAGGGGCACGAGCATGAGCATGAGCACGACGAGCACGACTAGGGGTATTAGCAGGGACAGGAGTAGGGACACGAGTAGGGACAGGAGCAGGGACAGGAGCAGGGACAGGAGCAGGGACAGGAGCAGGGATAGGAACAGGGGCAAGAGCAGGGGCAGGGGCAGGAGCACGAGCACGAGCAGGAGCGCGACGAGCACGATCAGGGGTATTAGCAGGGACACGAGCAGAGACATGAGCAGGAGCGAGGGCAAGGGCAGGGCCAGGAGCAGGAGCAAGAGCAGGCCCAGGTCCAGGGACAGGAGCAGGAGCAGTAGGAGGTCTAGGGGCAAGGCCACCTGCAGGAGCAGGGAGAGGGACAACTTCGACAATAGGATAATTCATATTGACGACTTTCCATGCAGGATCAGTGAAGCGGTAATATCGGAGAACATCGTACATACGCTCGGTAAGCTCCGCTGGATCTGGGACATGAGCACGAACTATGGCTGGCAACTCATTTTGCCTAGCGGTGAGCTTACGTCTGATATCAAATCCTTTCTTACCTTTAAATGTTGAGTTCCAGTTATTTCCCTTGCTAAGAGAGTCGTGCAACATGGGATTGTAGATCTCTCGAATCAAGTGGAGGACGGCCCGTCGTTCGACATGATCCGTGTCCATGTCGATACCAAGTGATGCCCAAACAGGACCCTCAAACTTTGTGCTCATATTCACTTTGAAATCCATGATTACTCGAGCCATATTGGAAGATGTTGATGAGAGGTGATTTCATAGAAGTTGGGCTGTTGGGTCGGGCTGTTAGACTGTTAGACAGTTGGCTTATTGATTGTATCGTTGGCTCGTTGGCTTGGAATTGTTTGGAATGGTTGATGATAATGATGGTTTAGGTAGAATGTCTCGACTACTAAATACTCGAGAGACTCTTTGTGACTTCTTAGATTATTGCAAGCATGGCCTATTTATTTTGGGAGACACAAAGGAACATATTCTTGTCAAAGAATGCCCTTTTAGAACAAAGCGATGTATTGATGAGATAGCAAATCCAAACAATGTATTTATCGACTATGAACCAGTCAAGGATGTAACCTGCAAGCTATTGTTTCTCTTCATATAGAAACAAAGGAAGAAAAAGGGAGAAAGTGCCCAAGAATAACCAGAGCCCTCATTTAGAAACAGAAGGAACAAACCAAACTCTTGAAGGAAAAATACTAGGAATGAAGTTTAAGTCTGTCTTTCACCACATTAATCTATAAATAGCGCTTAACGCAAACACAATAATCATTCCCAAAGAAGATGGTTCCCAAGATGATAGATTATCCGTATAGTATACCTGCTGCCTTTTCAACTTGATTATCAGCCGCTTAAACTGCAATTTGATATGAGACCGAATATGGAAGCGAAGATGCGCAAAACCAAAATTTTGACAAATGTCCATGACAGCATAATATCCACAGCCAGCTCTGCGACAGCATACAGAGTGGCCTCCGGGTGACCGCCAATGCTTAATGCAACCTGGGCGGTTGATGTAAGATACCTAAATTAGAACACCTATGTTGTAAAGACTCCACACGGCGCATATATTATTAGTGTTTCGATTAGAGCCCTGGCTTTAGGAGCGATTCATCCACTTGGGAGCTAGCACTTGCATTGTCATTTTGCATGGCTGATTATAACTCATCCGAAAGTATATCCTGATTGTTTGTTCAGTCTCGGGAAGCCTTCATGAATGCGGAATCGAAGAGAACAGGACTGCCTAGTGCTAGAACTGGTAGAACGCTCAATAATAATTCAGGCTCTTACCAACTTCTGGCGCATCCATTACCATAGGAATAGCATGCTGAGATAATTCCTTGGTCGGTCCAATCCCGGAGAGCATGAGGAACTGTGGTGTCCGGAGGGTACCGGCTGCGAGGATGACCTCTTTCCGTGCACCAAAGCGCCGACTATCTAACAATATCACCCCAGGTTGTCTTCGGTAAGCTCAAGCCGATGAAATATGGCTTCGGTAAGAACCCGTACTCCTTCTAGATGGTAAACGTGCTGTGTTGTTTGACGCTTTTCATTATGCCATGTCTCCAGGAATTCCCTGGCACAATATGTATTCCATGAGCTACGATCTGGATTATATTGAACTCCTCCATGCCTCTTTGATTGGCTTCCGAGGAGGATATTTTCGCTTGGGGTCGCTCTTAGAGACTGAGGTAATATGAAGCGGACCACCAAACCTGTGTTGCTTGGGGTCTGCTTCGGTGTCGAGAAATGACTTGGTTCTTAGGAAGTAGGGAAGCAATCCGTTATAACTCCATCGCTGGTCTCCGAATATTCTAGCCCAGTCATTGTAGTCGGCTGCATTACCCCGACTCCAGCCCCCAAAGTTGATCACGCTTCCCCCTCCCAAGCCATTCCTGGCGTGGACCTCGTGTGCTCGATTCTCGGGTTTGGGTTGGGGGCTGAGCCTTATAAGTTCAGTTAAGCTCCGAGCCAAGCAAAGAGAAGAGACTTGGGAGGGTCTGGTCGTTGGTATTTGTGGAGGGGTCACTGTGTGCCTCGGACAAGGATGTCGAGGGACGGGTTCCGTTGCTTAAGGCGCGAGGCAAACACATACCCTGTCAGCCCAACACATATAATAATGTAATCGGTTTCAGATAAAGGTGACTTCGTCCTTTGCCGGATCATGGAAGACCGATATTCACAATGGACTTCAGAAAAGAATTCAATCCCCCAGATAATGTTCAAAGTTTCATCCAGGAATATAGTCATATATCTCCATGGCTTGGCGGCTGAACAGACAAGGGCTGGGCATAATCATGTGATTCGGATATATCCGATGCTGACTGCAGTCTTACACGTTTTTCGTCATATCCATGCCGCAGATGCAGGGATCCGAAAGTAACATTCACCTCCTTTTCAGCTTTACGAGAGAATCAAACTGGCAACCGGCCACTTGTAATAAAACATGCGTTATATTTTCTAGCCTATTCCCCTTAGGAACACATCCATGGATTCTATGTCGCATGACTCAAAAGGCCGAGCCTTGGCCTACATGATTTTTCCTTCCCCCGCATTCGCTTTGACATGGTCGATTCAGCGATGATCGATGACTACTGTCAGACTTGGGTTGATTTCGAAATTCGGACAACTAACTGCCTTAGACTCTTTCTAACCTCACTTTACACTCTTTTGATCTATGCCGGTGGCGTCCCAACTTAGAAATGCAATATTATGGTGTTCTGCCTGTGACTTGGCCCCCGGGTGCTATGATCTCCTTTAGCGTCTTAGTGCTGACGGGTGGTCTAATGTGGCCATCCTTGGAATAAAGCCAAAGGATTTTTTGGGGCTGATCTGCAGCCGTGCTCACCCCACGGGGCAAGTTTGGTCTCTTTTTATATTCTGTGGGGTAGCCAATCTTTTCCCTAAAGTTTTTCGAAACGTAAAGTAAAAGACCTCCTGAATCTGAAAAGCGACCAAAAGGCTCCTCGTCATGGATGAAAAGTCGCCTAAGGGTGATCATCCTCACTATGAGCATGCGACTCCGGCTAAGACAGAGCTGGTTGAGGCGGCCAACCCTGATGCACCTGAGCGCCGCCAGGCTGCCGGTATCAACATCGTTCAGAATCCGTTGACGGTAAGTCTACAACTGAAATCCCCACCATCTTTCATGGTCGTGTCGAGCATGAATGCTGACTACTGTCTTTGTGTCCATAGCGCAGCTCCAAGGAGCAAGCTATTATCGATGCCCGAGAGTACGCCGAATCGCATAATATGAGCGAGTACGCCGATCTATTTGGCCGGGCTGCTGTAGTTGCGCGGAGCCCCAAAGAATTCCCATCGGCCCCCGAAATTGATGAAGAGGAGCGCACCGCGCTCGCATACGAGAGGGACCATAAATGGCACGGCCCGTGGATGCTCTGGTACTCAATTGGTTTGTGTGCTATCGGAGCTGCCACACAAGGATGGGATCAGACTGGATCCAACGGTGCCAACTTGTCCTTCCCTGAGGAATTCGGTATTGCCGGTAAAGGCAAAGATGAATGGATTGTGGGAATCGTCAACTCCATCATTTTCTTGACCGCTGGTCTCATGTAAGTATAGCACCAGTGAGGATCCTTTTCCTTTTATATTTTGCAACTGACATTGTGCATAGTGGTGCTTGGATTGTCGATCCTCTTAATCACTATTTGGGCCGACGAGGTGAGATTTTCGTCACTGCTCTCTGTCTCACTGCCACGCCAATTGGATCTGGTTTCGCACAGTCATGGCAAGGACTCTTCGCTGCACGGTTTGTAATGGGTATCGGCATCGGTGCAAAGAACGCCACGGTGCCCATCTACTCGGCTGAGATGGCTCCGGCCAGGACTCGAGGTGCTCTTGTCATGTTCTGGCAACTTTGGGTCGTAGCTGGTAAGTATCTCTCATCTCTGATAAAGAAACATGGCTAACCTCCAGTGCAGGTATTTTCTTGGGCTTTGCTGCCAACGTTATCGTCAAAGACGTCAAAGATATCGCTTGGCGTCTCCAACTCGGTTCCGCATTCATTCCATCTTTCATCCTCGGCATCGGAATATTTTTCTGTCCTGAGTCTCCTCGCTGGCTTATGAAGCATAACAGGCATGATGAAGGATTCCAGTCTATGTTGCGCTTGCGAGCTCATCCAATTATCGCCGCGAGAGACTTCTATTATTCATACGTTATCTATGAAGAAGAACTCAAGGAGGCTAGAGGCGCAGGCTATTTCTCCCGTCTGTGGGACTGTTTTGCCGTCCCCAGAATCAGACGGGCTAATTATGGTGCCTCGACTGTTATGATTGCGCAGCAAATGTGCGGTATCAACAGTAAGTTGTGTCTTATCTCGTGAGAGTAGAGAGTAGCCAGCGCTAACAGCTTTTAGTCATTTCATTCTACAGTTCAACCATCTTCCGGGACGTCGGCTACACAGAAGACCAGGCTTTATATGCGTCTCTTGGCTACGGTGCTATCCAAGTCGTGTCCACCATCCCTACTTTGTTCCTGATCGACACTAAAGGCCGAAGAACCCTGACTTTGATTGTGAGTTGTTCCGGGAGTTCTGGCTGAATATCACTGACCATTGTTCTTACGAAGACATTCCCCTTGATGTGCATCTTCCTGCTAGCTGGTGGTCTCTCTCTATTGAACAAGACAGAGAACCATGCCGCGATGATTGCACCAGTTGCCTTGTAAGTGTGGTGATTATTTCCACTGTGTCTGAGCATAGGCTGATTGATATCTCCGACTAGGTTTGTGTATTTGTTTACTATTGCCTACTCCTTGGGCGAAGGACCAGTCGCTTTCCAATACTCTGCTGAGGTATTCCCGACCATTCAGCGAGAACAAGGAATGGCGTGGGCTGTTTGCATAAACAATACTTTTGGTGAGTATTCCAAACATCAAATACAGCTAGCATCCCATTAACGAAGTCTTCTCCAGCTGGTGTTCTTAGTCTAACCTTCCCTCGAATGATGACTGTGATGACCAAAACTGGTGCTTGTAAGTTGACACTTCTGAACCATGGTGTCCAAATAGCTGACCGTTGTTTTAGTTGGCTTCTATGCTGGTCTTAACCTCATCGCTTGGTTTATGATTTTCTGCTTTGTCAGGGAGACCAAGCAGCTGACTCTAGAAGAACTGGATCGTAAGTCGAGTCTCGAATCTATGTAAATGTGTATATACTGACATATATATTGCAGAGGTGTTCTCGGTGCCGACCAAAAAGTTCATTCACTATGAGCTGACTGTGTGGCTTCCTTGGTGGATCAAGCGATATATCTTGAGAAAGAACATTGAAAGACCACCCCAAATCATCGCACTAGGTGAAGGGGTCAGATAAATGCGCACAGAGTTCTATGCTGGATATCTTCAGACAGCGACTGTTGGTTTGGTTGGGTTGATGCCTTTTCTATCACTGGTAACTTGGTATTTTCTTGGTCCTACCTCAATGAGGTAGAGTGATCTACATGATAACCGCAATAATTCCTGTCGTTACATATGCAGAATATATTTCTAGTGTTGTCCAATAACTCTTGAGGCAGTGATATCATACCTCTATCATGTTCATGTAGGTAAACAAAGGGCATTACGCAGCGGTATAGGTGCCATGCGACAAAACCCCTTTTTCGGGTAATATTGATGCCTGAATTAAGGCTGCGAGAAAAATGAAGATAATTACTTGAACTAACTAGTCCACAGCCCCAGGGGTATTATAGTGGCCTTAATAAGCAACGTACCCTAGTTCTGTTAGCTGATCCTCGAAGTATAAAAATGAAGCTTTTGACACCATACAAATTTATATATCACCACTTTTTAGGTGGTTTACTACAAAAAACCTTTATTAAGTGCTATATACCACCTAAAAGGTAATGATATATGAATTGTACGGAGTATAGTGTCAAAAGCTTCATTTTAATATATAGATACAAGAATTGTCGGCCGCCTATATGGCTATGTTAAGTCTTTTTTAGTAGTCTTTTATAGTACCTAGGTAGTCTTCTCAGATACTCTTTTTAGATGTCTTTTAGATGTCCTTTTTAGTAGACCTCTTCAGTGGTCTTCTCAGATTCTTCTCAGTTTGTCTTTTTGGATGTCTGTTTTCATAGATATTTTCTCCCCCTTCTTAGTACATAGCTAGACGGCGGAAAAAGGCTTAATTTATGAAATGGACTTTTCTATAGCAGTCGAGGTTCTAGGGATAATCAGGCATTAAGGAATCAATATTACCCGCAAAGGGGGATTTGTCGCATGGCACCTATACTGCTGCGTAGGCATTCTTTGGGCAGGAACGAATCGGCACATGTTCAGATTTCCAACTTGGGGTCAAAGACACTCTCGTCTCCAGGTATATTCCTCAACTTGTATTTTCATATCCTTTCACTACAGTCATGGACCAAACATGGACAGAATGGCGACATTTGATCGAAGGGATCGATCCAGCGACAACAGAACCAGAAGCTCCAAGGCGCATACAGTTTACACTGGCAGAGAACCAACTTTCATCACCACCGCCCAACATCCCACTGATCCCACATCTTCTGAGCGTCCATCATGCCTTCGCACAAGCGCTGAGGATCAACGTAGGTTTAATGATTTGGCCAGAGGCCTGGTTCCCAGGGGATGACCGACTGTGCCCCTTGTATCTCCGGCCTTGGATTCAATTTCCTCAACTCCAAGAAGAGATGTGGAAGAAAATCCTCAATGCGTCCGAACTTGTCAATGCATGTGTTTTCCCTCCACAATCCTCCATTCAATACACCGCTCAAATACTGCAATGGTACACGGTGCATTCGGAAGAAACTTTGAAGCAATTTGCACACAGAACGCTGGACGATTTCCTCGCACTGATTGTTAATTTTATCGAACATGAGGACACACTGCGATACAGGTTCAATGTCCGCGGACACCTGAAATTCGACCGCCCGCGTGATTGCTGCGTTTCTGTTACGAAATTCGGATTCGAAGAGCCAGCGTACGCAGTCTTATACATTCCATCATTTTGTCTGACTTTGCCCGAACTGATTGCAGGGTTGCGCGCCACATCACCGATGCAGTCCTTTGACAAAGAACCCAATACATTTGAGGAACATGCCACCGCCATGGTGGTCCATGCGATCGTTCGAATCTATTCAAGGATGATTTGCTCTGGACGCCGGTATGGGTATATCTACACAGGAGAGGCCTTGGTATTTCTTCACATCCCTCCAAGGGACTCCAGCGCTGTCGAATACTATCTCTGTGTTCCTGGTCGAGACGTCGTTTCTCTTGATTATGATCCACATGCAAAATGGGTTCGCCGTACGGCCTTGGGCCAAGTCCTCGCTTTCGCACTACAATCTTTAGCTGCCACACCACCATCGCAGGAATGGCATGACGAAGTTTATCAATCGTACCGTCCGCTCGAACACGATTACTCAATTTTCATGCCCCAAGCCCCGGATGACCTTCGATTCCGCGCACCAGCAGAGTTTATGTATGAGAACTCATTCTGGCCTAGATTCTGGGCAAATCTTCTGGATACAATCATAACAACGGACTATGAAAGCTGCGGTTCAGAAAGCACCGAGTTGTCCGACATTTGCAAGCCTTACTGTACCCAGGCATGCCTCCGTGGCACCTTTGAAAAGGATGTTCTGGATGAAAATTGTCCCAACGTTGCTCAGCACGGCACAGAAAGACATCAAATCAACTCACAGGAAATCTGCGACATGATGAACGAACAACTTCGAGAGAACCGGTATAGAGGATTCCAGCAGTTGCACATCATTGGCCGAACCTGTTATCTAATTAAAGCAACGTTGGTGTCTCATGGGTACACCGTGTTGATCAAGGCCACCGGCACCAGACAATCGCGCAGGCTACTCGTTGAATTGAGTAACTATCAGAATCTGATGCCGTTGCAGGGATATCAAATTCCTGTATGTCTTGGGATGTTTTTACCCAAGATCCCATATTGGTATCATGGGGTTGAAATGAACTACATGATGCTCCTCAGCTGGTCTGGAATTCGAACGGATCAACATGCTACCCTTGAATCGCGTCAGTACCTTGAACTGGAGAAGTGGAAACTTGAGGACAAACTTCAAGAACATGGAGTGGTTCAGAAAGATGCAGCTTTCCGCAACGTGCTGTGGAATCCCACGTCACAATCCTTTGTGATGATCGACTTGGAAGATTTAAAGTGGCTGAACGGCACTCCAGAGGGGTCCAAGCGGCATGGAAGCCAGGACACACAATCCAGCAGAGAAGAGATCCGGTCCAGTGGCTACCTTGGAGATGATGACAAGTAACCTTCGATTTTGGCGTTCGCAAAAGACATTGTGAGTAGGAGTTGGTCGGGTTGGAAGAAAAAGCACCGCAAAAGATTCTATATTTATTCTCAACGCTATCTTTATTCTGGTTGCCCTCTTCTTTGTTGGCTGTAAAGTCTCTTGAATCCCGTATAATATGGTTGCAGTGCGAGAAATCAAAACAAAAATCGTGATCACTCCAGATCGAAAGTCTAGTAGGCACATATTAGCACTGCACGATCATTACTTCACACCGCGAATAAACATACCATATCAAACCAAACACCGCCAGCAAATGTGGACTGACTTTTCCCTTGGCTCTTAAACCCAGAACTCTCATAAAAGTTGACCAAGTAGTCATGTGCAATAAGCACAACCCTGCTCGCCCCAAAACACCCTCTCCCGATATGCTCTAGATACGCCCGGACAAGAGCTCTCCCAACCTTCTTGCCCTGATAATCCGGCGAAATGGCAACAGAGTGAATCGCAATGCTATCACCATACTTATGATTCCCGATTAACTCATCATTGACAAAGACAGGCTCATCATCCAGTGATCGCCAATTCTCCGGCATTGACATCGATCCGTCGGTGATACGTGTATAGGGAGAGCGGACTGCAATGACATGTCCAATGAGTGTAGGTGAAGCTGGGTCTTGCTCATTCTCAACGAAGAGTCCAAGGCATAGTTCCGGGCATGCTCCCAGGCGATAACGGAACTTGGTCCGTGTTAGAAGAAACAATGGAACAATCTCGGGAACTGCTCGTTTGGCTCAGACTCTGGGTGTGGCTTACCTTTTCTTCAGAGCATCGCTCTGCCTTTGTAAAGGCTTCCTCGACGGCTACGCAGATCTTCACGTCTTCCTTGCTCAGAGTCCGGGTGAAGGCATTGGATCCGCCGAGGCTTGGGATGTGGATGTTGGTCTTGTGCATAGTGAGAAGCTTAGATTAAGACTTGAGGACAGGTCATGAATTGGAATAGAAAATAAAAAAGAAATCTAATATGTGAGTCAAAAAGATAGAATCAATTGCCCTTTTTAATGAGTCAAGGCTATTTCTATATCGGCGGGTGGAGTAAGACAACCGGAGTATTCGGACCGGAGTGTTCGGTGTGGAAACCTCGGGGAAGGGCCTCAACAGTCGATCACTACGGAAAACGTGAAATCCGGAGAAAAATTGGAGATTGAACCTTGTTGATTTCATGCGTTAGTTGGAGATGATCAAGAACTCGACGCCCTATTAACTACACCGCTACGGAGTACTGTGGTAGCGGATATGTTATCTACTCTAGTTACTATATACAAGAATAGTCGGCCGCTTATGCGGCCTTGTCAAGTATTTTTTGGTAGTATTTTATGGTAGTCTTTTCAGATGCTCTTTTAGATGTCTTTTTAGATGTCTTTTTTGGTGGTCGTTTTTGGTGGCCTTTTCGGATTCTTCTCTACTTAGTGTTTTCAGATGTCTGTTTTCATAGATATTGCCTCCCCCTTCTCAGTTTGTTAGCAGAAAAAGGCGAGAAAAAAAGTATACTTTGCGCAGACGACTTTTCTATGTATAACCTTTGAATCTCAGCTATAGCTGAGGCAAGAAAGATGCGGATTTTTGTCCTCTTGTTGGGGTGTCGTTGTTGAGAAGATCGGGAACCAGCCTTGGGAATCATCAAAAGCCCCATTTATAGGACCGGAGATGAGATAATGTACAATTTACTTGCTAATATTACATACTGTTGCTTTCAGCCATTCACAGTTTCGCCAACAAGGACTCAACAAACGTGCGTAGTCCATCCAACGACACATCCTCCTTCACGTCCAGCTGACGGCACTGCACCTCCAAAGTCTCCTTCTTCTTCCACCCATTGCCAACAACGACAATAATAGGGTATCCAATTAAGTCTGCATCGCCAAGTTTCCAGCCCATACCCTTGTCCCGGTCATCGAGGATAACATCAATAGGTGCCGCGGCGCCGCCGGTAAGACTATCATACACCTGATCCGCAACGGTCTCCAGCCCCTTGCCTGAGACCACCACAACCTCATAGGGTGCTATAACACGTGGCCAATTGAGTCCCTTGGAATCAGCAAGTCGGTTCGCCACTGCAGAGATCATACGCGAGACGCCGATACCGTGACATCCCATCTGCATGGGCACGATTTGTTCCTTGGCCGAAGATTTCGCACCTGCATCCGAAGATCCCTCGAGAAGAGCAGAGTTGACAGAAACAGACGCATTCAGGACTTTGCTGTACCGCGTTCCCAGGTGGAATGTGTGTCCCAGTTCCACGGCAGAGTGGCTGGTTAACGATCCATGCGCGCACTGCGAGCACTGGTCTCCGTCGTGTACGCGGACAAGACTGAGTTTATTTGAAGTCCCAGGGAATCGGTCAAGCTTGGAGTAATCTATGTCCGAGGCTGTGCAGCCAACTTCCTGGAGAAGATCGCTCAGAGGCGGGCGCTGGTATACCCGAACCTGCGAGTCGTATAGATCCAACACACGTGGCTTGTGCGTGGAGGACTTATTTGCCTTTACGTGGGCGGTCCATCGCTCTAGTGGGTTCTCCACGCTCAGATCGAGGTCAATACCAGCGGCGGTCGCCACCGCCTTGACAGCGTGTGAGTTGACGTGGCGCTCAACGGGCTCTGTCGCGCCGTTTTGCATCGAAAATTTGGGGTGCCAGCTCCGCACAATGGTGTTGCTATCGTGAGAGATTGCCATCCACATGCCAGTTGAGATTGTTGGTCCACCTTCAACAAGTGTATCATCGGTCTGGAAGCCAGGTGCCGTGTTCTGTTCAGAGTCATCAGAGCTGTGCGTCTTGCCGTCTGCGAGTTCTTCGTTATAGACATGGTCACAGTTCGAGCAGCTGACCACCTCGTCCTCGCCTTTCGGGCTGATGAAGTGGTACTCATGGCTCAATGAGCCGCCCATATTCCCTGAGTCTGCTGCCGCGACTAGGTAGGGAATCTTGAGTTCATTAAATAATTGTGTGTAGGCATTTTTGACTGCATCATATGTTTTCAGTGCCTCGCTGACACTATAGTCGAATGTATAGAGGTCTTTCATGATAAACTCTCGCCCACGAAGCAGGCCCTGTCTAGGCCGGGCCTCGTCTCTGTACTTTCGCGCTTCATGTGTGCTTACGTTAGTGATGTTGACAAAGAATAGACAAACAGAAAATCTCACAGATTTGATACACCCGCAGAGGCAGGCTCTTGTATGACGTTGTCAGATTCCCCACAAGTGTTGTAATTTCTTCCTCGTGTGTTGGGGCTAAGAGAAATGGAGTGTCTTTTCGATCTTTGAATCTGAACAGCTATGATGCATGTTAGTGACATGATGCAAGACAGTGGGTATGCTCAACCTACTTCTGAGCCGTCGGTCAGTCTGCCAGACTGTCCCCAGAGTTCTTGTGAGGATATTGAGGACAAAGAGACCTTAGATGCACCTAGATTTGCTTTAGTTGTCATCCAATGATAAGCAAAAGGTACGTTCCATACCAAGTGAGCGCATATGCCTGTCAATCAGACGCTCAAGCTTATCTTGAACACGTAGACCAAGTGGGAGCAGATGAAACACTCCAGAATATGCCTGGAGGGCCGTCAGAAATACTTAATTGGATATAAAGATGTGACTGCTCACCTGTCGGAGAAAGCCACCTCGCACTAGCAGGTCATTGGCATCCTCTAGATCTCTATTAACATCTGGTGAAGGTGAATTCCTATCGGGTTTCTCAATGGCGTACCCTTTTCACCATCAACGGGCTTCTTGGAAATTCCACCAGTAGGGATCCAGGTATTTGAAACACGGCTTCTGCCGTCAACCTACATGGAGTCAGCACTCACTATCAAGCATATTCAATCAATCTTTTGGAAGCGCGTACGTGAAGATTGCATTGCTGAACGCGCGGGCTCAACGCTAGCCGCCGCCCGGCTATGCGCCCTGATAAAGGTCGTAGCCCGGAAATCATCGATTAAGATAGTTCAACGCGTTGAAAGCTGATATTTTCACAATTGAACCGCTGGCTAAACACAAAATAATTTGTAGAGCAAGCCGAGTGTCACTTCTGCGGTGTTTCTTATCGCGTTGGTCCGAGCGCCCCGATAACCCGCCGCAAAAGATTTCTCCGTTTAATTTTCTTTCCTCCATCAGTCAACCCCAAACACAACACACCATGGCTACAGGGAAAGGAAAGCGCTCTTCGGGCGCAAATGAGATTGCTCCTGCGACGAGCGTCTCAGCTCCCGCTGCCGAAACCATGCCATTCATGCCGGACGAGAGCGCCTTCGCAGGCCTACGACAGAAAATCGAACAGCGTTTGAAGAACCAGACTCAGAGCACCGGGAAGGGCAAGAAGGATAATACAAAGCCATCAGCCCCTGCCGCCAATGCTCCTGCAAATAAAGGAAAGCAATTTCCCGCCAAACCCGGCCGCCCTCAGGATTCCGCACAAGGCAAGAAGCGGGATCGCAACGGCGAGGTGATTGCTCGCGAGCAGAACAAGGGTGGAATGAACAAGCAAGAAAAGCCCAAAGCTGGCAAGAAGAGCAATGACGACGAAACACTGCGCCAAGAAATTCTAGCTATGGGTGGTACTGAGGAGGATCTTGATCTTCTTGCTGGTGTCGACTCTGAATCTGAGGTTGAGGGCGAGTCCGGCAAGGTTGACGATGATCTTCGGAAGCAGCTCTCTAGCATGTTGGAGGCTTCAGGTCACGTCGTGCCCGAGGATCTAGCAGATGACGAAGTTGAAGACGTCGAAGAGGAAATAGAGAGCGAGGATGATATCGAGGACAGCGAGGACAATGCAGAGAGCAGCGGGCCGGAATCCGATATTGAGGAAGCCCCCGCTCCGAAGCCAAAGGAGTCTGAATCTGTGGTGCCTAAGGAGTATTTGAAGCTGGTAAGATGCGGACCGGCCTAGCACTACAACGCTTTTGCTAACATGATAATTATAGAAAGTTCTTCCTCGCTCCGACTGGTACAATATCCCTATGCCCTCCTCC